AACTTAACAATTAGACTTACAACCAAGATCCAATTCGACATGCTAACTTAAACACAACACTGACATATTTAGACAACATGCTTGAACAGACTTCGACTACATCATCCACAAGTCTTGTCGAACCATGAAGCTATCCTTGTTGACACTAAAGTTCGATCCAAATACCACAAATCCTCACCTTGGAACAAACTCTATACTAACAAGAGAACAAGCTAGCTTTCATCATGCACCTTTATCAACTGCATACAGTGGAAAAACTTGTTATTTGACTATGTCTTGGTGATCATATCAACAACATCGTCATCAGTCGAAACCTTTAGCACTTGGACTTTTTCACGTTCGATTATCTCTTTGACAAAGTGTAAGCTCATGTCGATGCGCTTGGTTCGTTTCTGATGGGTTAAATTCTTTGACAGACGTATTGTACTTTGATAATCAAATTTAAGAGTGATAACTTGGCCTTGAAGTTTAAGCTCCTTAACAAAACCTTCAAGCCACACTGCTTCTTTCACAACTTCAGCGAGGGCGATATATTCTGCTTTAGTAGTTGATAAGTCAAAAACCTTCTGAAGTGTTGCTTTCCAACTTAATACTGTGTCAAACATAGTGAACATATATCCATAAATAGATTTTTTAGAATCCATACAACCTGCATAATCAAAGTCGATAAATCCTTCGATTTCGACTTTGCTATCATCATGACATGCTCGTTCATAAATTAGGACTTTGCTTAGAGACCCATCGATGTACCTAAGAATCCACTTTAATGCTTATTAGTGTGTTTTCCCAAGATTGACCATATACCGACTTATAAGACTCACTCCGTACACTATGTTTGACCTTGTACAGATCATATCATACATCAAAGAATCTACTATATTAGCATATGAAATGCTATTCATATAAGCTCTTTTGACTTCAGTACTAGACTTTGAGTCGTACTTAGCTTGTACTGAGGATTAATCGATGTTAGAACAAGCTTTGAATTCGACATACCAAACTTATAGAGAATCTTCTTCAAGTATGTCTCTTGAGATAAGCATCATCTCGACTATTTTTTATCTCTTCGCATGTCAATCCCAAGAATTTTGGAGGCAGCTCCCAAATCCTTCACATCAAACTCCTTATCAAGTTCAGCCTTCACATTCATAATATCTTCAACATTGTTGCTTGCTATGAGGATGCCATCCACATAAAGCAACAAAATAACAAGTGAATTTCTAGGTCTAAATCTGAAGTAAACACAATGGTCGAACTGACTCCTGGTGAAACTAATGTGTACCATGAACTTGTCGAATCTCTTATTCTATTGTCGAGGAGATTGTTTCAGGCCATACAAGGACCTATTCAACTTGCACACATAATCTTCCTTTCCCTTTTCTGCATACCCTTCAAGTTTCCTCATCAGGATTGTTTCACCTAGATCACTATATAGGAAGGCTGTATTCACATCCATCTGTTCAAGTTCTGGGTCGAACTTTGCCACCATGTCTAACAATATTATGATGGATTTATGCTTTACAACAAGTGATAATATATCATTGAAGTTGACATCTTCTTTCTGAGTGAACCTCCTAGCAACCAACCTTGCCTTAAATCGCTTCGACATCACTCATTTGATTCCTTCCTTAACCTTAAAGATTCACTTACAGTTGACTAACATGGCCCTTGCAGGTTTCTCAATCAGCTCCCAAGTGTTATTATCAGGGAGAGATTTCATCTCATCATCCATGGCTTTTAGCCAGTCGGTCTTATTTTGACTTCTCATAACTTCCTTATAGTCTCTAAGTTCTTTGTCAAGAACCTCACTTGCAGAGAGTAAGGCATACGCTATGAGATCTACATAACCAAGTCTCTGAGGTGGCTTGATGACTCTTCTCAACCTTTCTCTTTCTAGCAGGTAGTCATTATCAATCTCTTCATCTTCACCAACAATTTGATATTCTTCTTTGACTTCATCTAGATCATGCAATTCAACATCATTATGCTCCACCTCAATAAAAGTTTTTCACTCTTGCGATCTTGCTCTAAACCCACTAAAACACCTCAAAAACAGGGCTCATCACCCTCATGAGCTTGCCCTAAACCCACCAAAAATAGGGCTTATCATCCTCGTGAGCTTTGCCCAAACACGCAAAAACGTTAATGCCTCTAGCACCCCTATAAGCATAGGGGTGTCACGCATTTGTAATTTTTTTAGCAAGTGCAACAATACAGTATAAGATATAATGCACTTAAGTAAACTTGTTCAGCATGTAGCCCACACAAACAGTTCTATAAATAGATCCCTTATGTTAAAGTTTTCTCAATCAATGAAATTCGATTTGTGAAACCTTAATCGTACTCTCTCTCTCTCTAAGTTTTCACTTGTAGCATTTAGCCCTGAGATTGAAGGAACTTTGTTTTTGTGGTATGAGTAGAGGCGTTGTTATTCAGTGTACATGATTGTTCTTTTAATTTTGCATCAATATTTAATCGCCATAAGAGGTAATCAATTTATAATTGACCAGGCTCATTCATAAGGATCGACTTAAAGAAACAATTTGTTTTCCGCTGCGTTTTATATCACAATTTTCCTTCACCCAAACTCTGCTCGAGGTTCTCGCTCCAAGTTTGATTTGAAAAGCTCTTTAGGGGTTAATTTAAATATGAAGACATGAAGTGCTCAATTTATATTACTTTGTCCTTTCCAAGCCCTCATATTTAGAAAGTTGTGTATTAGGATAATTTTATTAGGTGCTAAAAATGGATAAACTAGAAAGTAGAAAGGAAAACCAAACACACTAACGAGAGACGAGCTTCCAAATGGAGCTAAAGGCCACCCGAGGTAACCCTTACATGTCCAGTAAATGTGGGTGATAACATATCCATACAATGATTGGCTGAAGAGAGAGTCAATATACAAAATTGTTCTCCCCACGTGTTCGTCGTGAAAATTGGTGAACAACCACTGGTCTTCCAAATAAAAAAAGATTTGTTTTATTCGCAGATCTTAAACAAAGTTTGAAAAAATAATGAACAATTCAACAGAGTTCATGATAAAAATAACTTGTTTCAAAAATGTAAATGGAATTGAACACAAGAGATTAAAGTCGAAAGACTGGTAAAAAATGTAGAAAGTAACTTGCGCAAGGAAAAAATAAATTCTTAATGAAAAGACTCATTGAATTGCATTGAAATATAAAAATGGTGTTGCATCAACGTACCTCACGAACTCATTTCTTTACATGCGGGTACTTCGAGTATATTGAGGAATTTGTACACAATTGAACACACACTCTAATTCTAACATTAAGACTTGCTATTTATACTAATAAAAAGTAATTACCATCAACGACTAACGAACTAGATCGAGACAAGTGGCATTCTGCATGTCTTCGACTCTTGGAAGCGCTCCACGTGTCTTCTTTGAGAAATGGATAAGAACGAACACTCCCTCCTTTATTTGAATTCAAATCTTCCTGTCGAAATGCCTTCAGTAGCACCTCTGTCGAATCACACTTCCCAATTGTTAGGAAATATTTCTAAGTCTATAAAATAGTTCCTCTTGCAAATAGACGCCTTCGACTCACACTCCAAAAATGTAGTTCGGATCAAAGTCATCCGATTTCTTCAGAAACTCTATTACTTCCTTTTAATCCAATTCAAGTGTCGAAATTTAGAATCAACACCATAATTATAGAGAGAAAGAGCATCCTATTTGCCACGTTCTCTAGTAATAGCACAAGGGAAATTATTTTATGATTCTCTAGTATAAACCCAAGAGTCTATATAAATACCTCAATTTTAAGGATTGAAGAGGAAATTTTTAATTTATCCCCTTAAATTCATATACATTACTTTTCACCGTCCTATACGAATTATCCTTAAATTTTGTCAAATATCATAAAATACCACGTACTATTATTATGGTATATTTTTAACAAATACAATAAAATTTTAGAATAATTAAGTAATTTGAAAAATTATTCTCAAATTTAAAATTCTATCACAACAAAAATAAGTTAATTAAATAATAATTTATTAATCCTCAATTTTATTTTATATAGTACTTGAAGTTGAACTAGAGTCCAACTAATTTTCAAAAGAATAAAAAACACTTAAAATTTACATATTGACAGACAAATGAGTAGTGGCCAAATTAAAATACGACAAATTCCCCTTAACTTATGCTTCGCTCATTGACTAATGAGTGGAAAGTTTAGACAAAAGGAAACGGTAGGCCTTAGGAGTCTGGTTTCACTTGAAAGGCAAAATAAATATACAAAAACATAATACAATTGTATTTTTATTTATTTAACTAAATAATTAACTTTGATCTAATAATAGCGCTTTTAAAATAAGTAATAAAAAATGTTGGAACATTGAAATCGTGTGGGAATAGAAAACAGGATTGAAGGGTCACCGTTGGTTCACATGATATAAACTATTTTACACTACAAAGAAGGCAAATTTAATAAGTTTTCTCTATTTTAGGTTCACATGAATGTTCATTGCGTGGGCCATACCATGGTTGTTACGTTACATTATTCACCCACTCATCAATCCAACCTCTTAAATTCGTAATCATCCTAATTTTTTCACTTATTATAATGCAAATTCTTTATTATTAATCAAAAGCTTTAAAAAATTTTGGTTTAATAACTCTACACTAAAATTGCTCTAAAAGAGATCAAAATTAGTCCGCATAGTAAACCTGATATAATCATTCATAAAAACCAAACTAAAAGCTCATTCACATTGAGTATCAGAGTTCTAAAGTTTGCATTTTAAAGATTAAAACATTCTTTAAATTAATTGCGAGAGTCTTTTACGTTAGAAAAAAAAGAGTGAGTGGAGTGTGTATTGTGTTGTGTAGTCGCCATAAACACAACCCCTTCACCGTTCTCATTCTCACTCATCATAGGATACCATACACAAGCCCTCCTTTTTCCTCTCTCTCTCTTCATTGTTGTTTCTGATTCTCTGCATTTGCCTCTGCCGACACTTCTTCGGAAATTATGGAAACTAACTCAGTTTCCAAATTTCTCTTTCTCTTCATTTTCTCTACATTCTTGTGCTCACTGGTTTACTCTGATGTAACCTATGACAGAAAAGCCATTATCATCAATGGCCAAAGAAGACTCCTTTTCTCTGGTTCCATACATTATCCCAGAAGTACCCCTGATGTATCTTCCTTCTCTCTTTTTCATCTTTATTTTTTTTTCTTTCTAAATTAAGATAATAATAAAAAATCATAAACCTTACTGTTTGTTTCTGAATTTTGCAGATGTGGGAAGATCTGATTTATAAGGCTAAAGAAGGAGGTTTAGATGTAATTGAAACCTATGTCTTCTGGAATGTTCATGAACCTTCTCCTGGAAATGTACTTCACTTTCACACTCTCTCTTTCAGCTTCTTCATTTTGTTCAATTTCAGTTTTATTTCAACTTCTGAATACACACACTTGTTGGAATTCGTTCAATGCAGTATGATTTTGAAGGAAGAAATGATTTGGTTAGGTTTGTTAAGACAGTACAGAAAGCAGGACTGTATGCTCATCTTAGAATTGGACCTTATGTTTGTGCAGAATGGAATTTTGGGTACTTATTATTGTTATTATCCTTAAAATATTTCTGTTTTGGTCTTTTGTGGGTTTTGTTCCATTGTTTAATGATTTTACCTTGTCATATGCAGAGGTTTTCCTGTTTGGTTGAAGTATGTTCCCGGGATTAGCTTTAGACAAGACAATGAACCTTTCAAGGTTTCTTTTATCTTTTCATGTACTTTCTTAAAAAACATTTTTTGTTAGTGTTTCTTTTATATTATATACATGATATATCAACTAGGAGTACCGAGTTCGAACCAGGGATGAAACAATCCATGGTCATACTTTAGTTTCCTCCCGACCGAACTTCGGATTACCAGGGTATTTTCGTCTATGAATCGGAGGGTTAAGACCAAAAATGTTTATGGCTAATGACTACTTAGAAGGAATTTTTTGAAATTCCTTGTTCTTTCAATTGAAATAGTTTTTTTTTTTTTCAATGAATGGTGTTGCAGAAGGCAATGCAAGGGTTCACTGAGAAGATTGTGGGATTGATGAAGAGTGAACGACTCTACGAGTCACAGGGTGGTCCTATCATCCTCTCTCAGGTTTAACCTCTATTATTAATTGTTAACTTGCTTTTTTGTATTTCTAAACTACCAAAATTCCCTTTTATTGTTTTAGGAAAGGTACTAATTGTGGTAACTTTCCTTCTAGATCTAGTTTTGTTTGTAACAACAATAATAATGATAGATACACTTTATGTTGTTTCAGATCGAGAATGAGTATGGGGCACAGAGTAAATTACTTGGACCTGTTGGATATAATTACATGAGCTGGGCTGCAAAAATGGCTGTTGAAATGGGAACTGGGGTTCCATGGGTGATGTGCAAGGAAGATGATGCTCCAGATCCAGTGGTAGGTTTTCTCATTCTCTCTCCCTTAGAGGTTGCTAACATTATGCACCGGTAACATCATGTGGCTGATAAACTAATATGTTTCCTTTTATGTGACAGATAAACACCTGCAATGGCTTTTATTGTGATAAATTTACTCCCAATAAACCTTACAAGCCTACAATGTGGACAGAGGCTTGGAGTGGCTGGTAATCATTTTTACAGTTACTCCTGTGTTTTATAATTGCGGAAATGTTCTTGCTGATTTTTTTTGTCAAACATGAAGGTTTTCGGAATTCGGAGGTCCAATTCACAAAAGACCTGTTCAGGATTTGGCATTTGCAGTAGCCCGGTTCATACAAAAAGGAGGATCTTTTGTAAACTACTACATGGTTGGTTTTCTTATACCGATTTAACAATAAAAAAATTGGCGATGTATTGATGATAACCGTTTAAGTAACTTACCTTGTTTGTGTAGTATCATGGAGGAACCAATTTTGGCCGCACAGCTGGAGGCCCTTTTATCACTACCAGCTATGACTATGATGCTCCACTAGACGAATATGGTGGGAGCTGATAGTTCAATAATTTATGCAACTGCATACCATAATAGTTTTTTTCTTAGTTTCTTTTTATGCGTAAAGTCCACAAAATATTGACTCACTACTTTTTGTTACAAAAAATATTGACAGGTTTGATTAGGCAACCAAAGTATGGTCATCTAAAGGAGCTTCATAAGGCTTTCAAAATGTGTGAGCGAGCTTTAGTTTCAACTGACCCGGTTGTTACCTCATTAGGAAACTTCCAACAGGTTTAACTTACTCTCAAATGTTTAATCTTTTTGGCTTTTACTGTTCTGTAAGTTCCTTTATTGACACTATTGGTTATTCATCCTTTCGCAGGCCTATGTATACTCAACAAAATCTGGAGATTGTGCTGCTTTTCTCTCAAACTATGATTCCAAATCTTCTGCTAGAGTCCTTTTCAACAATATGCACTATAATTTACCTCCTTGGTCCGTCAGTGTCCTCCCGGATTGTAGAAATGCTGTTTTTAATACGGCAAAGGTATAGAACAAAAGTGTCAGATATAAAATCAGCATTTAACATTTCCATTTAATGAGATTTAACAACTTTGCATTTTATAAAATCACTAATTTCAGTTTCTCCCTATATTAGGTTGGAGTGCAAACATCTGAGATGCAAATGTTGCCTACAAATACTCATATGTTCTCATGGGAGAGTTTCGATGAAGATACTTCTTCTAGTTCTACAAATACAATCACTGCTTCTGGTCTCTTGGAACAGATAAATGTAACACGAGATATAAGTGATTACCTTTGGTATATAACTAGGTAAGATTGGTTTTGTAAGTTGTTTACATTTTCTCCTTAACTCTGATTTTATCTTCATCTACTGTTGGAAATTATTTACGCCTTTTGATTACCTAGCCGTTCTTTATTTTCATCCGACATACGTTAACAATGACCAGTATTGAGTCGTAATGCTTAGCATTTCTCTTGCATCTTTCTAGCATCCTAAAAATCATTTGCAAGTTGCAACAACCATGGAAGCAAATAACTGATATTTCTAGATTTTAGATGCTGTATCGAATATTGACATCTAAAATTGCACGAATTTGACATTTTGACTGAATCTCTAAGGTTTCAGAGGCTAAAAGGAAACCATTTTTGCTGTACTAATTTATTACGTATCGATGTGTCTACAGCGTTGATGTTGGTTCGTCTGAATCCTTTCTTCGTGGAGGCAAACTCCCTTCTCTCATTGTTCAGTCAACTGGTCATGCTGTGCATGTTTTTATCAATGGTCGACTTTCTGGTATGTAGTTAGTTTGCTTCTTTCGTAGATCTTGCTTCCATAGGAAAGGGAACAGAAACATGATGTATATGATTTAAAACAGGCTCTGCCTATGGAACGAGGGAGGACAGGAGATTCAGATATATTGGCGATGTAAATCTTCGTGCCGGAACAAACACTATAGCTTTGCTCAGTGTTGCCGTTGGACTTCCAGTAAGTTTTGTTTTCCACTCTTATTTTCTGAAATTCTATTACATTAAACTTGAAGTTTTTGTAAATAATCATTATTATTGCTTTTGTGCTCAAGATCATTCTACTATGGGCCTACTACTTGATGCTTACTGATATCATTCTTTTCGGTTTTGTGCTGTGAAAGAACGTGGGTGGACATTTTGAGACTTGGAACACAGGAATCCTAGGTCCAGTTGTTATGCATGGACTTGATCAGGGAAAGCTGGACTTGTCATGGCAGAAATGGACTTACCAGGTTGGGCTGAAAGGAGAGGCCTTGAATCTTGCATCACCAGATGGTATCTCATCTGTCGAGTGGATGCAGTCTGAGTTCGTTGTACAAAAAAATCAGCCACTGACATGGCACAAGGTAAAAAATGTGCTTAAAGTTAACTTAAACAAAACGTTAGACCTAAAAAAGAATGAAATAAGTGACTGACTAGTAAACTTTGCAGACTTTTTTCGATGCTCCTGAAGGAGAAGAGCCGTTGGCATTGGACATGGACGGTATGGGTAAAGGTCAAATATGGATTAATGGGATAAGCATTGGAAGATACTGGACTGCTACAGCTACTGGTAGTTGCAATGACTGCAATTATGCCGGGTCATATAGACCACCAAAGTGCCAGATTGGTTGTGGTAAACCAACTCAGCGATGGTAAGTGTTGTTAGTTGTTAACATTGTAGATCATGTGATTTACTGCAATACTGTAGTTTACTATAAAGCGCCGTCGCTGCTCAATTATTAAACACAACAAATTGTAAACCATAACTAGCACACATTCTTTAGACTTTTTTTGACATATGGTTTACTTCATGTTTCAGGTACCATGTACCGCGATCATGGTTGAAGCCAAATCATAATTTGTTAGTTGTTTTTGAGGAACTTGGGGGAGACCCTTCTAAAATTTCATTAGTAAAGAGATCAGTGAGCAGTGTATGTGCTGATGTATCAGAGTACCACCCAAATCTCAAGAATTGGCACATTGATAGCTATGGGAAATCAGAAAATTTCCATCCTCCAAAAGTTCACTTGCATTGCAATCCTGGCCAAGCCATCTCTTCCATTAAATTTGCAAGCTTTGGAACTCCTTTGGGAACCTGTGGGAGTTATGAGCAAGGAACTTGTCATTCTTCTGCATCCTATGACATCTTAGAGAAGGTAACTCAAACCATTTTCTTCATTTAACAATCAAACATTGACTTTTAGAAAAGCATGTAAATCGTCTAAGTATTACTGGATGATGACATTGTTAATGCTTATTGTCTTTTCATTTTTATACAGAAATGCATCGGAAAGGCAAGATGCACAGTAACCGTATCAAATAGCAATTTCGGGCATGACCCGTGTCCGAATGTGTTGAAGCGGTTATCAGTTGAAGCTGTTTGTGCTCCAACTGTTACCAACTAATGAGGCCGATTAGTTAGCAAAGCACGGTTTTTAAGTGTTATTTTCAGTGATTTATTAGCAAGTTGAAAGATTAATAAGAGTAGAATAGGTAAAGTGTAAGTCCCATAGTTTTTTTAGGGCAGTAAGTAGGCTTTGTTTTTATATATGTTGTGCCAAAGGCACATGGTTTTTAATTTTAAGCAGTGTTGGGTGAATCTGATATCAAGGGTCTAAAAATTGGATCCTTGTGAGTGTGAATTTAGAGGAGTCATAGTTCCCAGCCTATATATATGTTTTAGATGAATATAGGCACTGGTTTCTATGATGTGTTTTCGTTTGTTTTACAGGAGTAAATTAAACTCCAATTTAGGTTTGAAGTTGGGAGCGGATCCTAATGTAACCATGACATTTGTTTGAAGTTCACTATTATTCTGTGCATCATTCTGTTTCTTAAATTTCATTTATGCACTGGCTTTTACTTTTTACTCAATGAGTTTGAGATAGAAATAAAATATATACACCTTTTCTTTTGTTTGAACCAAGGTATGCTAATATCAAAGTGTAATAAAGACTGAACCGACTAGTTCAACCAATTGGACCATGAACCAGACACATCTCCGGTTTAGACTTCAAAACAGTGGTAGCGAAAACCGGCTATGACACTGCAAAAGCAGTTAAGAATCGCAACCAATTGGACCATGAACTGGACAGTTATCTAGTTTAGACTTCAAAACCAATGTAGCAAAAACCGGCTAAGAAACTGCAAAACCAGTTAAGAATCACAACCAATTGGACCGTGAACTGGTCACATGTCTGGTTTAGATTTCAAAACCACTTCAGCAAAAAATTGGCGAAGAAACTGCAAAACCAGTTAAGAATTGCAACTGATTGGACCATCAACTGCACATATCCAGTTTAGACTAACACCTTAGTGGTTTTCTATATGCCCTTGAATACCTACATTAAGTTTCAAAACAAAAAGTACTAGAAATCTATAAATAAACATTCTCAACCCAATATGGATTTCAAGGGTGAAGAGGAAAGTTCGTTCATGTTGTCAATTAGGGAATTCATAGTAATAACATCATCCACCATTATTTAAGACCAGAATAAAGCTCTTAGGTGCAATAAAAAGACATAACATCCAATACAAGATACCAACAACAATGAAAACAACAATAACACCACAGTAATTATTATTTAGTCTTTGAAGATGAAGCTTCTACCAACACCACCAACAAAACTAAGCATTGGATGAAGCCACATGTCTCTCAATTGTCTGCTGCAGTTCTTCTTTCTTTGCTCCAACCACTTTGCCCAAAATCGTTCCTTCTTTCACAAACACAAATGTTGGCATAGCCTCAACAGCCCAATCTTGAGCAACAGACTGCAAGTCAATCAACAGATTATCATATTATGTCAACGCAAAACTGATTTACAGAGACAACGCATTTTCATTAAACTCTTAATTTGTTACCTTTAGTTCGTCCACGTCCACCTTAAGGAATATGACATTTGTAAACTTCTTAGCTAGCTCACCGAGGAATGGTGCAATGAAACGACATGGTCCACACCATGAAGCAGTAAAGTCCACAACAATCTAACAAAATTAGAACAAGGGTCACCATATTTTCAGAGATAATAGCATAGTTTGATGAATACCTGAATCTTATATTTGAAGTTTGCACTAAATTAAGATACTACTAAGTTACATTATTAGATGATTTTAGAAGGTTTTGAGAGCAGTACAAAGTTACATGACAGACAGAAAAGATGAATTCATCATGCAGGTCTATAATTACAATCCTTACATAATAGTAGATATCTTTTCAGACAAACAAAATCATGGCATACCAAAATTATAAAAATAAAAAACATCATTATTATGAAATAGTACAATGCAAAAAAATTGGTTCACCATGTCTACAGCACTCACATGCATTTTTATCATTAAGTAGACACTCATTATATCTAGTCAATGATACACAAGAAAAACAAGGTTTAGAAGTGTAAAATGAATCTATGAAGTATTGAAACACACCCTGACATCAGACATAAGATTGATAGCGACACCGTGTTTGGAAAACATGAAAATCATGGTGGCATAAAAGCTACACATGTCAACTTCTCAAAATCACGGTGAAAAAGACCTTAAATGTGTGACAGCGGTGACACACCGTGTTACAAAACATAGATTTATTAGTATGTATTTGATTCTGTGATGAAAAGAATCAACGGTTCCAAATGAAGTCTTTGAATCCATGAGACAAAAAAAAACACAGCACACACTAACATAGTATGGTAGATATTTGGGTCTCTTAACCAACAATCCAAAAAAACTACTTACATTTTTCAAGGAATTCCCTAAAACGATTATTAAAAAAATTCAAATACAAAAAATACACTAAATTTGAAAATGTTTTTATGAAATCAAATTGTGATCCTTTTTTTCCATTGAAAAAAAAAAGGAAACAAACATGAGTAATTAAGTAGTGACATTTGAAAATTAAGATACATTCGTAAACAACCAAAAGGGAATTTTTTCAACAAAAACAACACCGAACAAATCCTAGAATAATGTTTCAGAACCATATACGATCAAATCAAATCCATGGACAATCTTTTTCACAATAAGATTTTCAAAGCCAGATGTATAATGTACCAAAACAAAGGAATACCAATTATTCACAAACAACATAAACCGAAGCCATAAATTGAGATCCATATTCAAATGGAAAATAAAATAAAATATAAAAAAAACAATTTATATATATAATATATATACCAGTTTCTTGGATTCATTGCCTCTGTGAAGGATATCGTTCCATGCATCAACGCTGTGACAGCTGATAACTTGTCCCTCTTCTGATGAACCTGCCATTCTCTGAATTTTTTTGTTACAGATTTTAATTTTAGTTTTTAAGGAAGGAATGTAACCTCGTATCAATGTGGTTGTAACCGCTGATCACTCTGTCACTGCCTTAAATAAGAAAAATGGGTTAGGAAGGTTTGTAAAAGAGGCTTTGGTTTGTTGCTTTTTACAAGTTTGCCATTAACCATGATAAATTTGCATGCAAGTTTTTTTTGTTTTTTCTTTCAAAATTAAAAAATGCTCAATATGTGTATTATTTATTTTTATTCTTTTATGATAGTGGTAATGATTCTTCTCATTTATTTAAAATATATGTTCTTACGAATATGGAAATTAAGTACAAAATGTCTCGGTACATTGGATTCATTTAATATAAACTATTTTCTATTTAAAAACAAAAATATAAATATTTCTCTTTTTTTTTTTTTTACTAAATCTCTAAAAGAATCTTCTTTTCTAAAAAAATATTAAAAATATTGGTCAAAGACCTAACAAAGGCTGACTCAATAAAGTTGTCGACAACTTAAAAGTTGACATCTACTTTGGAGTATCACATACGAGCACACCTTTTGTGTTTATTTTCAATGTTAATGTATATCTAACAATTCTCTTCGTACTTTAGATCAGTTTAATCAGAAACAGTTTTAACGGTCTTTCATATATATAACTGTGATTTAGAGTTGTCTCCATGTATTATTTTTATTCACACTTGTATAGTTATACATTTTATAAATACTGACTTAAATGTTGAAATATTAATTTTGTAATTATCAGTGAAATTTCAATGTACTATAAACTTCTCTAATGTGATCATCTTGAACTTTTTATCTATTCCCTCCTTGAGTTCAAGTACAAAATAATTATATTATATTTAAAAATATTTTTATAAATATTTATATGATATGCAATTAAGTCTACCATAATTTTATATTAATTACATATACAAATAAAATTTATTAAAGGTATAATTTTCCTAATTGAGTTGAGAAATTTACATGTATTTTAAATTTAACTAGGATTAAAAAATACCAAATTCATAAGATTGTGAAGAAGATCTTTTCCTTGCATGTTAATGTCTTGCTTGTTATCTCTATCTAAATATGAAATTACAATCATTACATCTTTTAGCTCATTGCAGTCTGATGCGTTATTTATAGAGTTGTGTCATTTAGATGGATGTTGACATGTCTTAAAACTAAGAATTATTCATTGAGAGTTCTACTAACAACCTTTAGATTATGGGTTATAAGTTAGTGTTGTAGTAAATTTTGTCGAAGTCGAAGATGTATATGTTGTAATCGAAGTTTGTTTTTGCATGTAAATGTCTCAGTTAGCTTGTTGTTTAAGTTAACATGTTGAATTGAATCAGTCTATTGAGCCAATTGTTTAGTATGTTAGTTGAAAACTAGATGTTAGTTTTTTTTATATATAACATACTAGTAACCACTTCTTAATCAATCCTTATAATCCTATTCAAGTGTAAACATTGTTCCCTAATGTATAATTGAATCAAGAACCTAATTTAAACCAATTTGATCGTTCTTTCTCTTATGTTCTCCCTTTTCACTTTACCGTGCGATTTTTTTGTTGATCAAGAAACTGATCACGCTCTATTTTCTTGGGTATCACTTCTCAATAAATTGGTGTCGTGAGCGTGGGGGAGAAGATGTCATCAACAAAGTACGAGATCGAGAAATTTACTACTGTGAATGATTTCAATTTGTGGCGCTTGAAGATGCATGTCCTTCTTGTTCAACAAGGTTTGTTAGAAGTGTTGGAAGGATCAAAGAAGATGGATACTTCCCTAACGGAGACAGAGAAGACGACAATGATCGAGAAAGCCCACAGTGCCATCATATTGAGCCTTGGTGATAAGGTTCTCCGGCAGGTTTTGAAGGAGAAAACTGAGCTGGTGTGTGGACAAAACTCGAAGGTTTGTACATGACGAAATCGTTAGTGAATCGTCTCTACCTGAAGCAAGCTTTATATTCATTCAAGATGAGTGAAGACAAAGTTTTGGTTGAACAACTAGATATGTTAAACAAGTTGATTCTTGATCTTGAAAATATCTAGGTCAAGATTGATGATGACACTACTACAAATAATACATTTCATGACGTTGATTTTACCTCACGAAATGAAAAACCGAGGTCAAATACTTGGACGCACCCTGTTTTTTTTTAAATAAAAAAGTTACAATATATTTCGTAAGTTATGTGGAAAACCGATGGGTAAACATATACAATGTACATGTTTCGAATCCTAACAACCTCAGTTTATATTTTTATCTCATTCAAAGTGGCGCATTATTGAATGTTTTATTTTTAATTTTAAAAGTATGCTACTTTACCCATCGATTTTCTTACTAACCGAGGTGAATACATTTCTCTGATATTAGTAGTAAATATATATATATATATATATATATATATATATATATATATATATATATATATATATATATATATATATATATATATATATATATATATATATATAGCTTGTAGCATTAAGTTTCATTTGTATAAACAACACAAACAGAATCTTAACGAAGAGCCTTAAATAAAGAGAGTCATAAACACATATCACCTTCAATACAAAAGTGCTATGTGTTTAGATATTTATTTTCTTCTTCAAAGATCCAAATCATTTTCTGGTACGTCAAACATCACTACTAATATTTTTGTCATATTGTTGTTGTTGTTGTTGTTGTTGTTGTTGTTGTTGTTGTTGTTGTTGTTGTTATTGTTATTGATGTTGTTATTGTTATTGTTGTTGTTGTTATTGTTGTTGTTGTTGTTGTTGTTGTTGAGATCCAAGACCCTAGAATTTTTGTTGTTGTTATTGATGTTGTTGTTCTTGTTGTTGAGGCCCTAAACCATAGACGTTTTTTTATTGAAGTTGTTATTGATATTGTTGTTGTTTATTGAAGTTGTTGTTCTTAATGTTGTGTTTGATGTTGTTGTTGTTTTTTTGTTCCGTCTAATTAAGTTTATTATATCTAATGTTGATTGTTTGTTTCACTAACCTCTCTTTGAACATATAACCTAGTAAATTATGTTTGGAAATAATCATATGCAAACTTATGTTGTATCTGAAACTTACCTTACACTGATTAATGATTTTCTAGCATCCTGTAATATGTCGTTCATCTCCCGCTATTTTATTCTTAAAATCTCTTCAATACTTCTAATTTTTGTTCAACATTCTTCCATATTTTTTCATTTTTCAAAGCTTCAAATTTTATTCTTTCAAGAATGAATTAGTAGAAAAGGAAGTGTTAAATAAAGAACTTGAAACATTGAAGAGATTTTAACCATAATCAATGTAAGTTATTCTTCAAATATAACACAATTTTTAATATGATTATTTTTGTAACCAATTTTTAGAAGTTATATGTTTAGTATCGGGTTTAGTGAAATAAGTAATCTACATTAGATTTAATAAACTCAATTATTTTACCCCTCGGTTACATTAGATAATCGAGGTGAAAATGCGGTATATTCGTCGATGAAATGAAAAAACCGATGGGACATGTGTTTTCGCCATTTCAATATTCCAAAAAGGTCTCCCTGGGGATCGAACCCATGACCATTTCACATACTCGTCGGTATTTCTAAAATCGAAAGGTAAAGTACAAAGTTTTCATGACGCATTCGTTACCTCGCCCCTGTAGCCGAGGTTAAATGCATTTCACGTCCGACATTAAATGTTCTTTTTCTAGTAGTGTGAATATCAAGCGTTACTGGTGATGTCTTATTTACCAAGATCTCGTGCCCACTTCAAAGAAAATTTCTTGTATGGAAGAGATTAGTTGACCTTTGTAGAAGTTCAATCAACCATGTACTCAAAGGATTTAAATGAAAGGAAGGATCACAAGCCATCTTCTGTTGGTGAATGTTTGTCCGTTAAGTGGAAATTCTTGAAGAAAGATGGTGGGTTTGAGAAGAAGAAAAGTAAAGTTATATAAAATTCTTATGGTGCTAATGCTCTGCAATTAAGTGTTATCATTATAAGAATGAGGGACATACAAGAAATATGTGTCATGCTCGATTGAATAATCATGGTGGAAAGGATAATATGGTAATGCAACCATTGTGCAAGATGATTATGAATCATCTGATGTTCTGGTGGTTTCGAGCAGTGACTTTAACAAGGAGTGGGTTATGAATTTAGGGTGTACTTGGAAAATGAATTCAAACAAAGAAGTGTTTGCGGAATTATGTGACCAGGATGGTGGATTAATGTTGCTTGGAAATAACAAGGCCTTCAAGATTGCAGGCATTGGATCTGTAATATTCAAGCTCTATGATGAGTCAATAAAGCTATTGACTTGTGTCAGGTATGTACCTGAACTTAAGAAGAATTTGATTTCTCTTGGTGAACTTAACAAGAAAGGATATGTGTTCAAAGGAGACCAAAATATCCTAAGGGTAATGAAGGGGTCGAAGAAAGTCTTGAGAGGCGTGAAGAAAAAAAGATTGTATACCCTTGAGGTTGAGGTTGTAAGTGGTCCAGCAGATGTGACATCCACAAAACTTGTGTCGAAGACTAAACTATTGAACTAGAGACTTGGTCATGTCACTAAAAGAGGTCGGGTCAAAATATGTTATGTGGGTCAAAAAATTGGAGTTTTGTGAACCTTGTGTATTTGGTAAATCCTGTAGGGTGAAGTTCAATAAAGCCAAACAAAGAACACATGAATCCCTTGATTACTTTCATGTTAACCTTTAGAGACCTCTAACCCAAGAAATCCTTCACACTCAGGTGCAATATACATTTTTATCTATACTTGATGATTACTTCCGAAAATTGTGGGTATTCATTCAAAAAGATAAGGATGAAGCTTTTGAAAATTTCAAAAGTTTGAAGACTTTGGTCGAAAACCAAATTGGTAGGAAGGTCATGAGGTTGAGGACCAACAATGGTCTTGAATTTTGAATGAAGATTTCAACATCTATTGTGCTACTTCTGATATTGCAAGGCACAAAACTATTTTAGACATTCCCTAACAATATGGTTTGGCTGAAAGGTTTAATCAAACCATTCTAGAAAGGGTTAGATGCATGTTGGTTAGTGCAGGATTGAAGAAGATGTTTTGGGCCGAGGAAGTCATGATTGTAGCTTAACTTATAAATAGGTGTCCCTTGACTACTTTGGGGATGAAAACACCTGAAGAAGTCTGGTCGAGACATCCACTTAATCTTAACAGACTTAGACTATTTGGCTGTGTAACTTATGCTCGCATTAGGAAAGACAAGGTGATTAGTGAATTTTGATGCACATTTTTCTACTATTGTACTTAGACATTTCTATGGTTTATTTTATTAATTTTACTATTTTATTGTGTTTTTAGATTTAAGTTTATTTTTGCCTTTAATTTAATTTCGTATTTTATTTTCAACATTAACAATTATTTGATATATGTTCACTGTACAGACCATAACTTGAGTTACAAGAATCGGATGGACGTGTTCTGATAGGCATTGGAAAGTTAAGAGAAAGGGCTACAAGTTCTGCGTTGAAGCCAAAAGTTGATACAAAGTGAAACAGTATCAAATAATTAATTGAAGTTTCAGACTTTAGAGAATAACTAGTTTTGGACCGTCTTTTAGGTTTTTCGACTCGATTAGAATTAGAAGGGAAAATCCTTATTTTTGTATAAGAAGTCATTCGCGATACTATTCATATTACACATTATTCACGATTTTTCTTTGCTTTGCACTATTGTAATGGAGAACTAATTCTCAAGGGCAAAATCTTACTGTACGGTTTCATCACTTTGAGGTTATTATAATACCAATTTAATTTTGATTCCTTTCAATTCTTTTCTATTAAGTCATTTGCTTAATTTGATTAATTTCGTTTGCTTAATTCGATTGTTGTTCTTAGGATAAAATTGATTAAGTTCAATTGTATGCATGTTTCTAATTTTAATTGTGTGTTAACTTACTTTTTCGTTAGACTTCGCCTAATCTTTAAACCGACATGCTTTATGCGGTAAACAGGAACATAATTCATATGATATTGATTGCGCTTGTCTAGTTGATCTCATGATCGAATAGGATCGAATCCGCTTAGAGGTTGATGTTATAGTAACCGATGATAAGTCAGAACCCGAATCAGTAGGATAAGTCGTCTTAGCTTATTTTATAATTATTTATTTTCTCTTGTTCTCTAAATCGAAACCTAAAACCTTCATAAACCTTTAATTTAGTTGGTTAATTCAATACAAAAATTCTTGTGATACAACTCGAGTCATTGTCGCTAAACTACTGTTTTTAAAATTACTCGCTTTAATCTATGTGCGACAGCGGATCACAAGGTCGAACTTAGAGATCTAAGATGTATGTTTCTTGGATACCCTGAAGGAGTCAAATCTTATAGGTTGTGGTGCCTAAAGCCAAGTTATAGGTGGTGTATCACAAGTCGAGATGTAGTTTTCAATGAAGCAGAGATGACTTTTAAGAAAACTGATGATGTTAGTCTAAATAAGAGATCTCTAAAGAGGAGCTGGAACAAGAAGAGATTCTTGTTGAGATGGAGTATAGTGATGCTGAATTGCATAACCCGGATGAAGTCGAAGAAGAAGCACAAGGTGCTGATGAAGAGAAGAGACTAATAATAACTACCTGCTGACAAGAGACATGTCAAAAAGAATTATCAAGCCACATTAAAAGCTTGGTTATGCAGATTGTAACACCCTACTTTCCTCATTCATTTAATTATGAAGAATAAATGTAATTTACGAAATAATAAATAAAAAAACACAAATAAACTGCCACATTCTTAAAATCTTATAAAGTATCAAGTCACTTCATCTCTTTATTCTTCATAAAAAAAAATTAAACACCAGAATAATATATTTCGAAATAGTGAACTGCTAATTTTTTTTTAATCGTTGTCGAGACTATTATAAATATATTTACAAAAGTCTATGTAGTGATGTATGATTGGGTTATCTGGATTTTTTTTAATTATTAATAGTGCATAATACAACTAAAAGAATATAAAGTTGACAAAGTTGAGATACACATGCATTACTAATTTTTAAAAACAAACGAGAACAAGTCACATTAATGAATGCACACGTATATACTCACAACTTCCAAGAGTACAATTTCAACTTTTATTTTCGCCCATTCTTTTTAGAATTCTTCACCATTTGTCCCACGAATATTACTCGCACCATAACGAATATACTCTTCAAGAGTTGGCCATGATGTGCAGCTTTTAATAGGAAGATACCACATGCTCCATCATCTTGATGAAAAACTGTAAACATTTGGCCTCAAAGAATAGTTCCTTTAGGACCAAGGAACATCGTCCTTTGGCCACAAATATATATACATAGTACAATAACTCTAAGAAATTCCTATTAAAGCAACTAATTTTGGTAATTAATAATCTGAATACATATAGTATTGGTTACATCTCACAAATGTGAAAGCATTACAGTTTTATACAAAGTAGAACATGTACCAGTAGGAGAAACAAATAATACACAGCCGAATCAGATTCTCGAATCTGAAAACAAAAAAGTCTAGGGATAAGTTTCGCAAACCTTGAATGTATTGCAATTTTATACAAAGTATCCGTGAGAAAAACGGATACTACAACTGAATCAGATTCTTAAAACAATATGTGCCGAGAAGGAACCAGCCAATTAGAACCGAAGTGAATAAGAACCAAAATTTTAAGAAAGTGAAACCTCCCAATGTGACTCCAAGAAAAAATACAACCACAAATGGTAAAATCGTTCGCAGCATAGATGTTTTGTTGACCCAGCGTCCGTTGAGTAAAATGAAAATTGCAAGGTTAACGACATTCCATCTGTTTGACAGGTAGCTGAGCCTGTTCAAATTATGGGCAACAAAGGAGTGGCAGTTGCATGTAAAGAGACTGTAAGATCGGTGTTGGAATTCTTGAGTGCTTTTCAGTAGAGCATCGTCCCAGGTCCTCAACTCACCTCCAGCTTCGTCCTGCGTGTAGTGTTCCTCACTCTTATAAGCAGACTGGCCTAAAGGGATGCAACACTGCTAGCAATTATTTCGAACATCATTAGAGAAATACTAAAGGAGCAGAAAACTTGTGGCGTCTGAAACAAACACACTATAACAATGTTATCAAATAGTAGCTGATAAGATACAAGATAAAAAACAAGCTTTATCCCACTAACTGGGATCGGTTACATAGATCATACAACGCCATAATGTACTATCACATAGATGTGTAAGGTGTTGTCACTATAGTCTTTAAATGTGTCGAAATTGCAAACACATCCACAAATATCTCTTTTAATTATCATTTCGGACCTTCAATATGTTTTTAGATAGTCAATTTAGCCCTCAAATGTGTTTTTGTTGGTCAAATTAGTTAATTATATCTCTAACAAAAGAAACACTAGAGATGTATTTTTCATTTCAATATAAATATGGACTATCGTGATAGCGCTTCATGCATTCAAAGACCAAAACGGCAATTTGCTCATAACATATTTACATCCTATCAAATAGAAGATATAGCTTAGGAGAATTTGAACAAATTGCTATTTTTCTCCAATACACTATTTAATACAAAGTGTTGTAAAATTGCAGCTATAACAACACTAATTTCCATAAGTTTTCATAAACAACTTATAACAGTTTCATAAACCGTTTTCAACTTATTTCCATAAGTTCACCGGAATAGCTTATGAAACTACACATAGTCTATATAAACAATGATAATCACTTAATGAAATTGATTATCTAAACAAAGCAAAATCTGTTTTCTTTACCAGAATCAAATTAGTTTACAATGTTATTATTCTCTTACAAAGAAAGAATAGACTAATAGAACAAAACCAACCTTATCTTTAGGTATTTGGAGATAGCGAGTAGCAGCTCCAAATGCAAAATTATCAACGCAAACAAAATTAGGACCTGCAAAATCCAAAATGACCCCATCCTCTCTGCAGATTCCAATGTGACCAATGAAAGGAATGAACCAAGAAATCACCGGAAGTGGTGACCATACAATGGAGCACGGAAACCGAGACCTTCTAGGATCAATTTGCATCCGTGAAAAGCCAGATTCCATCATGTGTTGCTGTTCTGGATCCAAATCTGACTCAGTTTCCATTGCGAAAATTGGGGAAAATCGCTTTTTTTTGCCTATAGATAATAATGATTGATTAAAGAAAAGTTGAAGGTAGAAACCCTAAGTTAGAGGAGAAAGATCGGATGGAGTTACCTGGTGAGGCAGAAGCAAAATGAAAAGTATCTACAGGATCATTTGTGCTGCTGCGTACATTTCATGCCAAAATTTGGAACTGAATTCAACTCTATTGATGATGGTAAAATCTTTGACATTTCAGTTTTTTTTTCTTTTTTATAATTATTCTTGTTTGTCTTAATATTAGAAAAATGTTTAACTAGAAGAGCTAAGATTAAAATTATATATTAAAGAAAGAAAAAAAAAATTAAGATAACAATTAGAAGACTCAAGATCGTGTTAATTAGTAATTGTTAAAAAATAAACAACAAAGTAATTGATACTAATCTACAAGGAGAAATTGAGAATTTATTAATAAAAAAAATGAAAATGTATAATATAATATGTCTTATCGAATAAATTACAGTAAATTAGTAATTTACAAGGAGAAATAAATATTTTGGATCAGGCAGAACAGATTTCACATTCACCTTAAAATGACTATTTGCTGCTCAAGTATCAAAGAGGTAAGCTTTCTTAAGAATGTTGACAACACAATTAGACTAAGATTGAAGATAACTTATAGGAAAGTAGGCAACTTTCAAGAAGTAAGAAAGGAGCACAAATTCTTTATTTTAAATCTTTTAGCTAACTGTAATTTTATCTTAAGAAAAATATAATAAATCCATTTGAAATTGTCTTGAAAAATAAATAAGAATCATGAACACTAGAGTAAAAAGTCCAAGAGATAAAATCACATTGGAGGGCTTTTTAAACCAAACACATGGAAGTTGTTTAGATTCATACAAGTATTTCTTTAACATGTACCTTCCCTTTATTATGAGAAACACTGGATGGAGGTACTTTATAAATATTCTCCTAAATATTGATATTTAAAAAAGAGTTTTTAACATTCATGTGAGAAACATGTCATTAACAAACAAATGCAACAATAATAAATGTAATAATCACCTTGACCACAATAGCAAATGTTTCTTCATAATTCATACCGAATTATTGACATAATTCTTTAACAACAAGATGCATTTTATAACACTCAACTCAACCATCAAACTTGATTTTTATCTTGTATATCCAATGAAACCTAATAACACATATTTTTGGTTAAAGGGGTACAAATTGTTAATGTATTTGTCTTGTGCCAAACAACAAGCTCCTCTTCCATAGTCTTTTGCCAAAAAAGAAAAACAATACCCTCTTTATAAAAAGATGGCTAAAACAAAGTGTGAAAAGAGATTAAAAAAGAAAAAGAAACATAATAAGATGAATAAACAAAATCAAACAATTGAATAAACTTACAATTACGATAGAGATAACTAAAAAGATGATGAGGTTCAATAAGAACAACAACTATAAAAGATTGTTCAGCAGTCGTTGGAACATAAAGGGCATACATGTCTATGGTAACACTTTATCATCTTTGTAGTTCTCAATATTATAATCACTAAAAATATCATTATCAAAATCAAAACTATCAATACTAGTTAGTTCACTAAAAATATCAGTTAGTTAGAAGTATGAGAATCATAAGAAAAAAAAGTAAAATGATATGTGCTCAAGAATCACAACGTGGCCAAAAATATACATTTTGTTAATTGAAAGATCTTAACAGCGATAACATTTATGACTACTTTCGTAACAAAAAAAAATATTGTAAAATGAAGAAACAATTTATTAAATCTACTTTCGAACGAAGAACAAAACAAGTAGAATAAAAAACCTTTTAAGAAGAATAATCATGACTAGTACGATACAACTTCTCAAGAGGAGACAAGCCTAATATGCCAGATGATGGAATTATATTAATAACATGAGAGATTTTGAGAATTGTTTCGTCCAAAAACTCATTTTGAAATGAAACAAAAGGAAACGAGAAGCTTTAAGAATATGACGAGGTTTCCTTTAGCAAAGCCATTTTGTTGAGGAGTATTAGTGCAAGAAGTTAGGCTAAAAGTATCATAATAAACAAGTAACTTGGATAATTTATTATATACATATTCACCACTTAGATCACACTGGAAACACTTTATGACTGTTAATCATAAAGTGAAAAGAAAATGGCTAGAGTTTTCGTTAGAACAATGATAAAATAAAGAATATAAGGTCTGCCAATACAATATATAGAAAATCATAAATAGATTATAATACCCTCAATCAAATATAAAATCTCAATACACAATATCTAACATCTCCCCTCAAACTCACAATGCATGAAGCATTGAGAAATTGTCAATCAAGAAACAAAAACGTTTAATAGAATGTGTTTTTATGAACAAAGACATCAATTTGCAAATTGGAAGAAACAAAAGACAAAGTAATGGTGCCATGCTGAAGGTGATGACGAGTGAGATAAAAATCAATGTCAATGTGCTTTATACGGTCATAAAAGACTGAGTTGTGATCAATTTGAATGACACTCTTATTATCACAATACGTAGGAGTCAATCCATAAAGTGTAACACCTATATCAGAAGGTAACCACTGGAGCCAAACTATCTCAGTAGTGATGTATGTCATAGCATAATACTCTGCTTCTGTAGAAGAGCGAGAGACAATTCCATTTTTTTTTACTTTTCAAACAGATGAGAGAATCTCCAAGAAATATACAAAATCCTGTGGTAGAAGCATGGTCAGTAGGATCCTTAGCCCAATCATCATCAAAGTAAGCACGTAACTTTAAGAAAGAAAGTGATGGAAAATAGAGGCTCTGAAATTGAGTTACACGAAGATAATGAAACATATGAAGTACAACCAACTTACTGTAGTAGGAGAAACAACAATTTTACTAACAATAAGTACTTCCAAACTTCAAGGTCTTGGCCATGCACATCCACTCCCAAACTTGTCTTTAGATTATGTGCTTTATATTCCTGGTTGTCCTTTCAATCTAATGCATTTTAAAAATTTCACTTGTACTCTTGATCGTTCCATTCTATTTATTAATAAATCCTTTTATGTCTAGGATTGATGTACATGACAAACCATTGGAGCAACGAGTGATTATGGAGGATTATACTATCTATCATCACCGGTGGCATGTGATTCTATTGCTTCTCAAAGTCTTACACATCAATGTTTGGGTCATACTAGCCTTAATAAAATGCATATTTTAGTTCATAGTTTTTCTAAGCTTTTGTCATTTTAGTGTCAATCATGTCAATTAGGCAAAAATACTCGGCAAACCTATTGTCAACGAGTAAATAAAAGTGTTGCATCATCTTTTATTTAGTTCATTTTGATATTTGGGGTCCTAGTCGTGTTAAGTTAACTTTGGGATATTATCACTCTGTAATCCTCATAGATGATTTTTCACGATGTACTTAGTTATTTTTTATGAAAAATCGTTCAAATGTCTTCCATATATTCTAAGAAATTTATGCTGAAATTAAAAACCAGTTTGACACTTCCATTAAAATTTACACACTGATAATGCTCGTGAATATATGTCATCCCATTTTCAATGCTTTTTAATATCACATGGGGTTATTCATCAATCATTATGTGCTTAAACACCACAACAAAACGATGTCGTTGAATGAAAGAATCGTCATTTAGTTGAAACTGCACAAATTTTTTTACTTCACCATAATCTCCCAACTCGTTTTTGGGGTGATGCTCTTCTCACAGCTTGTCATCTTAGCAACATAATGTGTTCATCGGCCCCTTAAGATCAAATTCCATACTCTATATTTAACCTGCAATATGATTTCTACCACATTCCTTTCCATGTCTTTGGTTGTACATGATTTGTTCATGACATCTATTCAGGTAAAGACAAATTTTATGCTAAATCTCTCAAATTTATTTTTCTAGGCTACTCACGTATACAAAAAGTATATCGTTGTTTTTGTCCCCAACATCAATAATACATTATTTTCTCTGATGTCACATTTTTTGAAACCTCACCATTGTTCTTTGCCTCTATGTCACCTGATGAGAATGGCACTTCAGATGTTCGAGATATCCATTCCATCATCCCCACACCCATTGTAGCCCCTACACCTCCATTGCTAGTCTGCCAGCAACGAACACCTCATCCATTGGAGGTAAAATATGATATTTATCCACAAGCACCATGTCCTTCTCCAACTGCTCCTCCAATTACGTCACCTGAACTTAAACTTCCAATAGAGTTACGAAAAGTTTTTTGATTTCATCATTCTAATCCTAAACATGCTTGTGTTTTAAATTATGACTGTCTCTATACTTCCTATGTCTCTTTTGTTTTTGCTCTAGATTCTATGTATATTCCTAAGTCTACAGGTGAAGTTATGATTGATCCCAATTGGCATCAAGCGATTATGGAAGAAATGGTTGGATTGCATTCAAATAAAACTTGGGACAATGTTACTTTACCTTCAGACAAAACTACATTGGGATGTCGGTGGGTTTATATAGTGAAAGTTAGACCAGATGGTCAGATCGATCTTTTCAAAGCCTATTTAGTTGTCAAAGGATATAGAAAAATATTTAGTCTGCCTCTTTCTTGCAATGATTATTATTTATCATTGGCCGCTTCATCAGCTGGACATTAAAAATTCCTTCTTACATGAAAAGTTGGAGGAGAAAGTTTATATGGATTAACCTTCAGATTTTACTATTCTTGGCAATTCTAGACTTGTTTGTCGGCTTCTTCATTCTCTTTATGGGGTGAAACAGTATCCACGTGCTTGGTTTGGTCGCTTCAACTCTGCCTTAATATAGTGTAGTATGACTATATGTGAAGCATATCACTCTTTTTTCTTCCTTCATTCCTCAATTAGTAGACACTGAAGGTGAGAAATAAACACAAGAAAGGGGGGATTGAATTGGGTTTATGCCTTAATAAAACTTTTTCCTTTTCTTATCTTCTTCTTCACTTGATGCTTTTATGCGCTTATATTAAATACATTGCGGAAGCATAAATAATAAAGCATAAGTAAAGAACACATCATATATCCTGGTTCACTTGAGCAACTCTCAAGCTAATCCAGTCCACCCTTCCAAGGTGATTTCACCTTAATCAATTAAGGACTTAATCCACTATAACCGAACTGATTACAGATGCACAAGCTAACTGCAAGTGACTAACAATTTGACAATGACACGTTCAGGGATCCCCAAGGATATAACGTTCATTGATACCTTAATAGAATCTGATCACTAAAGATCTCCTATTAGGATTTCCACAAATGACTACTGTCACTTGTCATCTCAAGTATACTGATCTTCACTAGATCACTTGAGGAACCACTAATTCTAAAATAGAATATTTGTGTTGCCGGAGATTACAATGGTGCTTCCTAGCAAGCTAATAACTCCAAGTTTACCACATAGCAAGTGATGAACAACAGCTCCTTGCTTCCTAATACAAAAACTAATTCTAATAATAACTCTCTAAGAGATTATTAAAACATAGCTTCTATATTGCTTAAAAGCTTTTCTGTAAGTGAGCACTAAGGCTTCTTTTCCATTAAGCTTTTCTTTTCTTTGCAGCAGTAGCAGTAGCGCAACAGCGCAAGAGCCAACTCAATGCTTCAGCAACATTTGAATAAACAAATGATTCTTCCTTTTATAGTGCTTCCAAGAATGACGTTGTGAGGATAGAAAAGTCCTTTCTATTTCCAACGGTCATATTCCAACGGATAGAATGAGCACGTGTTGGATGACATCACTTTCTTGTCCTTTTCCATAAGCACATGATTTATCATATTTGAACAGCAACAGCTTATCTGATGTAACACGTCTTGCATCTGGATGAATCTTCTTCTGACACAATCTTCCACTTCAGAACCCAGTCTTCAGCATTCCAAGAACTAAGTTTCCTCTGAAACAATCTTGAGAATCTTCATGACTAATTCTTCAGAGACCATGTCTTAAGAATCTTCAGAGCCTTGACCTTCAGAACACTTCTTCAGAGTCTTGATCTTCAGAACACTTCTTCAGAGTCTTGTCCTTTAGAACCTGTCTTCAGAGTCTTGACCTTCAGAACCTGTCTTTAGAGTCTTGACGCACTTGGTCTTCAGAGCCTTCAGCCTTCAGAACTTCAAGTCATCAGAGTCTTCAGCACTTTGTTCTTCAGAGGACTCACTCTTCAGAGACGCTTGTTAGCTTCCAGATCAGATGCATAACTCAGAGCAGAATCCATAGATGCATTGCAACTGCAATATCCAGCATCCTTGATTCTTTACTGAACATGATCAGATGCAGAAACAAACTTGCTTCTTCACTGAGCTTCATTTGCTTTCAGATCAGATGCACTTCTTCAGAGCAGAAACCATAGGAGCATTGCAACTGCAATATCCAGCACCCTTGGTTCTTTACTGATGGTGATCAGATACATAAGCAAACTAGCTTCTTACAAGCGCTTCATGATGTCACACTAAGTAATTCCATAAGTTACTAGCTGCACACGTTGCTTCTGTTTGTTTGGTCTAATATATTTAATTTAATATGACCTGCACATAACAAACATTAAACCATAAAATGGTTCTTTCACAAATACTCAATTGTTATCATCAAAACATAGAGATTATCCTGTAGAGACAAATCTTGCTCTTACAGACACATCTTTCTTGTGGTCTATGTTGATGACATTGTTACCACTAAAGATGATATAGAGGGTATCTAGCATCTCAAAACTCATATCTTCAAAAAATTATAGACAAAAGACTTGCATCCACTCAGGTACTTCTTAGGCATTGAAGTTTCTAAATCCTCATCAAGCATTGCAATCAACCAATGCAAGTATACATTAGGCATCCTCAGTGAAACTGGTATGCTTGATTGTTGTCTCGTTGATACTCATATGGATCTCAATGTCAAACTTATTTTGCATCATGGGGAGCCATTGAAAGACTTCGGAAGATATCAACGACTTGTGGGTAGACTCAACTATCTTATAATCACCATATCTTATATTACATTTGTGGTGAGCATTGTGATATATTTTCTGAACGCTCCTTGTGATAGTCATTGGGGGTGCAGTCATTCGAATTCTTAGATATATACATAATGCACCAGAAAGAAGACTATTATATGAAGATAAATGCGATGCTTAAATAATTTGGTATTCAGACGTAGACTGGGCCAGATCACCGTCGGATAGAAGATCAATGTCAGGATAATGTGTTTTTATTTGAGGTAATATGATATCATGGAGATGCAAGAAACAAAATGCAGTTGCACTATCTAGTGTTGAAGATGAATATTGTGTTATGGCAACATCCTCAAAGGAACTTGCATGACTTAAAAAATTTACACTCAAAGTTTAGGTTGAGATATCTTCAGGCCACAAAACTCATATGCGACAATCAAATGACACTTTGCATTACATCTAATTTGATTTTCCATGAACGGACCAAACACATAGAAAGAGACTGTCATTATATAAGGGACAAATTACTTTCAGGAGAAATCACCACAAATCATGTTAAATTTGAAGATTAATTGGCTGATATGTTCACTAAGTCTCTTAGGGGTTCTCGAGTGGATTATATTTGTAACAAGCTCAACTCATATTACCGATATAACTTTGAGGGGGAGTGTTAAAAATCAATAATGTTAATATTTAATAGGGGTGTACGCGGGTTGGGTTGGATCGGGTTCACCTAACCCGTTACCCGATCCGTTTAAACTTCAATGGGTTGGGTTTGTCGTCTAACCCACAATTTCACTGTCAAAACCGACCGAACCAACCCGTTTATTTATGGGTTAGGTTTGCGGGTTGTGATTCAAATAAAAAATATTTTTTTTATGATTCTTTTTGTCAATTTAAAAAAAAAATGTAACACACCTCAATACAATCATACTGATTTATAACACTCAAATTTAATGAAAGACATCATATAGTATCTAATAAATTCATCAACACGACATAACACTGGATAATAATATAAAATTCAACAAGACATGTTATTTCCATAAAACACATAAGTTGAAAATGATACAAAAGAAAATAAGAAATAATATTTAATCTTAAAATTACATAAACTCATTGATCTAATAGTATTATTGGTGGAGAATAATTTTTTTGGAAAAGTTATAATTATTAGTTAGATATTAATTTTATATTTTTATTTAAAATAATAAGAAATTACTAAAGTCACGCAATGGGTTGGATCAACTGGTATGCGGGTTGCAAAACTCAAATCCGATACCCGTAAATGAATGAGTTCGGGTAATTTATGAGTTGATTTAGTTTGGATCAATGGATTCGTGGGTCGACCCGCACCCATGAACATCTCTAATATTTATATATAAAATATTCTTCGACCTATCTAAAATAGAATATACCATAGTATATTTCTTATGTAACTTATATAATAAATTGTAAAATTCACTGTATAATACAATCTCCGTAATGTTATTCAAACACACGATTTTATTCAAATGTCTCTCACTTTCTCATATTCAAACAATGCAAATTGCTCACATGTTGCTTTAAATCAAGTTCAAAGTCGGTTTCAAAAGATAATTAAAATGTGACAATTATTATAAGATAGATGAAGTTTAACACTATCATAATATTATACAATGACATTGATAATGATTAAGAAAAAATTGAACTTAACTACATGTGTCAATGTTGGACACTTATATATATCAAACATCAAATCTTTGTATGGTGGTGTCTTGGTCTTATGGAACTATCATGCATAATTAGAGCTTCTAAATAATGTGTGAAATGATCAGAGGTGTATATGGCAAATCATTTTTTGTAAGAGTCAATCTTAACCATTCGTTTTAGTCTAATACATGCCGTCAACAATATGAGAGATGACAAGAGACAATCTTTATATACACTCTCAATTACTAATAAGCAGCTTTAGAACAAAAGCATACCAAGCAAAACCAAAAGGTGATCATGCTGCTCATGTCATTGTAATGCAAGTGGAATATGCAACATCTAGTAACTTCCAGCCAAGAAAAAAACAAAACAAGCAAATGCTACTAAAAGGTGTGTGAAATAGTTTTGCAGATAGCTTATTATGCAGTACAACGTATAAATCAATCATCTACCAATTGCAATTCTTGTCCATATCAATTGTTGGTACTTGCAAAAATACCCTGCTACATCAAAGAAATGGTGTAATATTTGCTCACCTTAACTTAATGCTCAAGAAACTTTTATAGTTTTACTAGCATATAAATTGTTCTTCTAACATCTAAGAGTTGTGCACAGAAATTAACGGTTGGATAAGGAAAGAACTATCAAGTTTTTCTTCGGGACGATTTTCAAGCTCATCAGACTTGGTTTCTTGACTTCTTCCCCATACAACAAGGTATAAACCGGTTATAATTAAGATAGCTCCAATAATCCTGCACCTCACAATTCAAAACAATAACATGTTTTGCTATCATCAAAATTTTAAGGAAACAAAATGAAATTGAAGTTACTATATTGAAAACATACCCTCCCAAGAAGAATTCTTCACCAAAAGCAATGGATGCTATCAAAGCTACAAGCAATGTCTGTAAAGGCAGATAGATTGAAGCAAGCACTGGCCCTCCTTTGCTGATAGTCCATATCTGTATTGCTGCTGCCACCCCTGAAATCACCACTCCCTGATACAGAAAAAACACCGAGCCGAATTCATATACCGTAACATGAAATAATTCTCATACTAGTGAAAGATCAGATTGAGCAATCAAGTTTGATTTACGAACCGAGTACAAAATACTATAGGCCTCGTCGATGGAATTGAGCTGCCAAGCCTTGGGATCCTTCTCAAGAAATGCTGCAATTGTCCCAAACTGCACAATACCAAATAAGCAAGTAAAAGCAGAAACAGTGAGTTGTGCTGAATAATTTTTCAGAACATATGCTTGCATCACAATCCAACCAGACCAACTCAAACAATGACCAAAGAGAAAAATGCCACCCAAGCCCAAATTTTTCCCATTAGCTTCCTCAAATAGAAACAAGAACCGTCTCTGATGTACTGCTAAACGTGATTCTGGAGCATAAATTGTTGGTCCTTTGTAAAGGGTAATGATTGAAGCTCCTCCAACAGAAGCAACTACTCCAAGAATCTTAGCAATACCATTTATCCTATTTAAGCGCAACCTCTCGTATCTGCAATTTCGCATACATAATCGAACAAGTTCATGAATATATAATAAAAAGATCTGAACTTTAAGCTCTAGAGAACAAGGGTTATTAGTTATAACTCGCCTTAGTATCACAGCCATCAGAAATGTAAGAGCAGGAACAGAATTCTGCATAGCAGAAGCAAATGTTGGCGATGTATTGTCCAAACCCACAAGGTAAAATCCTTCTTTCATAGTTATTCTGTAAGAATCAAACAGGTAACATTTAAAGTTACACAAACATGTTTTGAACAAATATAAAGATGAATGAAATGGCTTCATGAAAAGAGAATGTACCCTACAAGTCCAAGTAGGAAAAACTGTAACAAACAATAACTGGTTATTGGTGGCCTATCTTTCCTTGCAAAGTGGGAAAACATATAAAAAAACAAGAACAAAAAAAGTGAGAAAGTTGAATACTATAATCAAAGGTTGCGGCTATAGAGGTAAAGTAGAATACTTTTCAGTGAAATATGCGAGCGGAGCTAGAAAAATGAAAGCAGTGATGTTTCTATAGACAGGAAAAACAAGCTTGCTGACTCCTGTATTGAGTGCAATTCTGAGAAATATATGATTTCCTGCATGACAGAATTGTAAAAAAGTTAAGGCTGTGTGAAGCTTAGCTCGTTCAGACATCATATTCTTTTGGTGTTGTGTTTTTTGCAGGATCCACTCAGAGAAGTAGATGTTGACTAAGAAAATGGAGAAAAATATCTACTTGAACATAGAGAGATCTTTGTATCTACTGTCTAATTGTGGAAATTAATATAAATAATAACAAAAAGACAAGGTTGATATATATGTTTTTTTAGCATTGTATGTGATTGTGAACTGGTGTTTATTGTCGTTATCTCATTGGATCTTAAGTTTTTGATATTCTGTGATGTTGTTTGAAGTAACACAACTCTTGCATTATTTTAAATTGATTATATGGTTCTTGGTAAATCAAGAGAGAAGGTTAGATTTGTCATCCTGGTAGAGTTCCAACTAGATGATCCTTTGTATCAGTTTATTTTTATTATTTTGTTTTGATTTGATGATCTTTCTGATTTAATTCACTAAGGTGAGGATCATGGAAGCTGTAGTGTAGTATTTCTTTAGCTATTTTTTTTAATTGCAACTTTGGCCTTTTTATTTATTTTAAAATTTTAAATTTTAGTCATCTATTTTAAATTTTACTCTATAGGTCTCTTAATTTTTTTTTGGAATTTTAGTCCTCCGCCTTATTTCAGTTTCTTTTTTCATAATGTGACAATTGGATTGATGAGGGGATATATATTAGATATTCTCCTCAGATCTGTGATGACATTTTTGGTCTGATGTTCTTCTTAGGCCTGTAATATAATTAATTACAAATTTGACATGATTATTATTACTTTGACCCCATCTTGAACGCCAATTGTAATCCGTCCAAACATGCCTCATACTTTACCTGATTGTTTTAAGTGGGTATTCAAACCTTATGAAAACCTCAAGCTTGAGGTCGTGTCTATTTTCGAGAAGGAGCGCTCTACCACTTTCTTTTGTGTTATATGATCCATCTAAAAACACCACCCATTTGGTTAAAATATTTGGTTCCTCAATGGTGGTCTCGACCACAAAGTCAGCGAACACTTGAGATTTGACCGCCTTTCCTGATTCTTAGGAAATATCAAACTTTGATAGTTCTATGGCCGACTTTGTCATTTATCCTACTAAATCTAGCTTATAGAGTATCCTTTTGATATAATAGTCGGTTCTTACCACTATAGTATGAGGGAGGAAATAAGGTTTTAGTTTCCTAGCGGTTGATATGAACGTTAAGGTTGATAATATACTTTTGGGTCTTGTAGAACCTTCCATATGAATTAAATTGGGTCTTGTGAGGAGTTACTTTCTCTTACTAAAACGAATCTCACTACTTCGATAGAAACGATGAGGTAGATGAAAAAAGGTTTGCCTTCTTTTAGGCAGACCATGATAGGCACCTGTGACAACACTTCTTCAACCTTTACGAATTCCATGTCGCACTCAGAAGTAAACTCTAATGGTGCTTATTTCCTTAAGAGTTTGTAAAATGACAACATATGATGTGCTGATCTGGAAATAAACCGAGATAAGGCGATTAATACGCTATTCAACTTCTAGATCCTTTTTTTGGTCTTGGGATCTGCCATGTCAATTACTTCTTGACATTTGGTTAAGTTTAACTCTATCCCCTTTTCTGTGAGATAATGCCCTAAGAACTTTCTAAACCTTACTTTAAAGGTGCATTTCTTAGGGTTCAACCGCATCTCGTGTTTACCCACTTCCCCAAATATGGACTCCAGGTGAGTCTTTCATTCTTCTTACTCTTTGGATTTGATGATCATGTCATCCATGTACACCTACAACATATCCCCTATCTGGTTTCTAAGGACCTTGTTCATCATTCATTGGTAAGTTGCCCAAACATTCTTGAGGCTGGAGGGCATGACCTTGTAGCTAAAATGTCCTTTGTTTGTCAAGTATGTAGTATTCCTACGGTTGAGAATTCCATTGATATCTGATTATACATGGAGTATGTGTTCGTAAAGAATAAGAGTTGAAATCCGTATGAGATACAAGCAAGCTTATCGATGTTTGAAAATGGTTAATCGTCTTTCGGACATTACCCTATTTATATATTAATAATTGACACACGTGTTACACTTATTGTTTCCTTGCCACACCAATACTACATTGGAGATCCATGTTGTGTATCTTGCCTCAATTGTGAATCCATCATTTAGGTGTTTGCCTACCAACTTTTTCATGGCTTCGACATTTGTTGGTGACTGTTTTTGCTCATGGTGTGCCACATAAGGGACATCGTCTATGAGGGCCAATGTATAACATACTATATTTGGGTTGAAACCTAGAATTTTCCTTGTCGACCATGCAAAAAAAAGGTTCCTTTGCAAACATTCTATTAAGATAACATAGTCACCTCATTAGGATTTAATAAGGGAATGATTCTTCCAACAGGGTATACATTTCTAATGTTCCTTCATCCTTTTCTTCCAAGTTATGTATTTCTTCCATGTTTGTTTTCTTCTGAGGATGGCTAGAAAACAAGCCCGTGATGATGCCAAGTTGACTTATAACACCACAATTTTGTCTTCTAGTGCGCGAAATTTAATTTTTAGATGAATAATTGAGGAAACTACCCCTAAGGTAGCCAATGAAGGGCGATCAAGGATACAAATGTATATAGAGTTACATTCTATAATCAACAATTTTATCTTGATTGCTCTCATCTTGTAACCGATTCAAAATGCTACTTGGAGTTCCACATATCTTAGGGGTCTTGTGATCATCCCGTAGAAACCCTTGGGGCCTCATTTGTAATATAGTTGCATGATGGGATACGTGTTTAGCTTTTGGTATGTCTTAGTGTACATAATGTTGCATAAACCCTCATTACCCACCAATGTGTATCGAATGACATAACCAACCATTACCACCCTGATAATAATGGGTATCCAATTATTCGAGGCACTACTGACTAGCTATTTGTCGTAGAAAGAGAGCAAGGGCCTTTCACTGGTATTTTTGAAGAGTTTGTTTCCTTGTGAGAGAAGTCAACAACTATCACCAGGTGTGTGTGGAAATTTTCAATGATGAGACTTTAATAGAGGTAGTTTATTTCATTTAATAATAAATATTCCTAAGGGAAGAGAGGTAGTCTGTCGTTTTCTTTCTTAGTGGGTATGTATTCCCACTGGTAAATCGCCCACTTGACTAAGAGGTAAATGTTTGCTTTGGGAACTAACTTTGTTTTCCTTTTCACCAGGGTTTTTATTTCTTACCGCCTGGATCATTTGGGCCACTGAAAAATGTCATCTTATAGTGAAAAAGGAAGAGAATGATGTGTACAATGATTCCCATAGACAAAACCAATGATCTTTTATAGATAAAAGTATCCCAACAGTGAGCTAGAAATTGATAAGAAGACAATGTCCAACAACACTTCAACATTGAAAGCTTCTTCTTAGTTTGGAGGTGTGGTGGAGGATGGTATATACAAAATACTATGACGCTTAAGTCAGTGAACGGATAAGGCAAGAGATAATGTTGTTAGGTTTCTAAGATTGTGTACCATAGTTTTGCACTTACGATCTTTTATATATGAGTCTTATTAGGGTTTATGATGACTCTCGTCCTTCAACTCCAATCATAGCCGTCCAGGTAAGATATATTAGCATTTAATACATTCAGTCATTTGACGACTCTGGTTTGGTTTCTTGCCTCAATTAAGCGTTTTTTAGGACATATCTATGTCTGCTTTATAGATCCTAAAACCTCATGCTTAAGCAACATATATGACATCTCTTAAGGGATAAATCGTGTTAAACAATGATTATGCTTGCAAAGTAAACATTGAAAATTTAGGGTCTGGTGATTTTTTTTGTAGTTTAGAAGAACGTTGGATAAAAGATTACAAAAAATTGGTTTATGTGACATCTTGCATCCGAAGATGTGGGGCATGCACCTTGGCTTAAATATGATTCGAAGAGTTCGTATTTCACATCTGGGTGTGTGATTCTAAAATCCTGATTGACATGATTTTAGATAATACAACCTTGGAGGCATGATTCCTACTTTGGTGAGACATATACACAACCTTTTAGTGCGATATATTGACAAGTTTAAGTTCAACACACTCATAACCAATTATTAAGGAATTCAAGGTGGACTACCTCACATGATCCAAAGTTGTTACCACGATTAAATCACAAATAAATACAATTTCTCGACACATTTGCCAAAGTTAAATCATGACTAAATTATAATGTTCACACAAAACACTAAAAAATTTGAGTGAGTATTTGTACTAGACAAACTTGATACAAAGAAACTTATCTGATGCTTGATCTGCAAGTAGGGGTGGAAATGGGCTAGGCTAGGCTAGGCTTTAGAATGTCTGAGTCTGACCTATGATATACTTATAGGGCCTGAGCCTGACCTATGACCTATTATAGACTCTTTTTTTTTTTTTTTGTATGGCCTGACCTTTTTAAGAGTCTGGCCTGGTCTGAAAGCCTATTTAAAAGTCTATTTCTTATTAAGGTTTTCAATTAATTCATATTACTTAAGAAGTCTTATACGTCGGTCTATATATGCATATATAGGCCGACCTATTAAATATTTTTTTCCTAATATATATACATATTCTAAGCCTAGCCTATTTAGCACTTTTTCTAATATATATGCATATATGAACCAGTCTATTTAAATTATTTTTAATATATATGAAAATATAGGCCGACCTATAAGGTTTCATATGCTTTTTTAACCGCCTAAGCCTAGCCTATTTAATTAAATAAGCTTTTAAAAAAGCCTAAGCCTGACTTTTTTATTAAATAGATCAGACCTTAAATAGGTTAGGCTATAGGTTCTTGTAGGTCGGCCTGACCTATTCTTATCCCTACTTGCAAGTCATAATCTTTCTATAAACTCTCTTAGTTGTTTTATCTAATATGTCTAAACTCTTATTTCTTCCTTTAAAAAACAATAAATTTAAGACTATGTTTAGATTGATGAAATGATATAAACTTAAATTTCATTTTTTAGATTAATTAAAAATGAATAAAATGAAGTGTAACACGATAAAATATATTCTATTTCATTCAATTCCATCATTTTCTATCACTTTTTATATATTCCAATTTGAACCGAATGATAAAATAAAATGTTGAAAGTATAGAATGATAGAGTAAATGTAAATTTAAAGTTTAAATTTATAATAAAAAACTAAAATTCCTAATAATTCAAAAATGAATAATATCCCAGCCATACCAAAATGAACTCTAATTCTTAAAGTTCATTCTCGAAAATAAGGACTTTATGATCATTCCATGGCAACATGTCTAATATATATTTTTTGTACACGACCAAAGAAAAGAGTTTTGATGAATGTCCTAAAAACAAACAAAAACATTTTGAAACAGTCATTTTTACATTGAATTGCCCAATAATACAAGAGAAGAAAAACACCATCGAGTCAAGTAGTGTAAACTCTATGTCTGTTGAATGTTGAGTTAAACAAAAGAGTAGAAAGAAGCTGAATTGAATTGAATTTCACATCATGAGGAAGCGCGATTTGGCTATTCTCATGCTTTCCGCTTTCGCTATTTTCTTCACTCTTCAGGTAACCTTTTTCACTCATTCACTCTCCCATTTCTCACTGTAAAACCCTAACCCCATTTATCGAAATCACTCAATTTCAATTTCAATTCAATTCATTCAGCAAGATGGCGGCGTTTCCTTCAAATACGCATGGGTGCACCTAACCGATGAATATCCAATCAAATACGAAGCCGAACGCCTCCCCCCTCCCTTAGTTGCCGATCTCAACGGTGACGGAAAAAAAGAAGTTCTCGTAGCTACTCACGATGCCAAAATTCAGGTCCTTTCATTTCCCTATTTTTGTAAAATTTCATGCTTGATTTGGTAGCCTTCCCAATTTGTCAATTTGTTTGTTAGGAATGATACAAGTTGTTGTAGTTGTAACTGAGTTTTGTATCTATGATGGGTGTATTAGATTTTGGAGCCACATAGTAGGCGTGTTGATGAAGGATTCAGTGAGGCGCGTGTGTTGGCCGAGGTGTCTTTGTTGCCTGATAAAGTGCGTGTCATGTCTGGGAGACGCCCGGTTGCTATGGCCACGGGCTATATTGACCGCCATAAAATTGGGCAACCGCATAAACAGGTTTTGGTTGTAGTAACGTCGGGTTGGTTTGTAATGTGTTTTGATTCCAACCTACAGAAATTGTGGGAAAATAATTTGCAGGTACAGTGTTTATGTTGTGCCATATCTTGTTGTATTATGTTGAGTTTACTAATTGTTTTAGTGGTTTTTAACAGGAGGATTTTCCCCATAATGCTCACCATAGAGAGGTTTCAATTTCTGTAAGCAATTATACTCTGAAGCATGGAGATACAGGATTGATCATCGTTGGTGGGAGGATGGAAATGCAGCCACATGTATGTGTTACTTTCCTTCTTGTTTCCTGCTTTGTTACTCTTTTTTGCCAAGTACTTGTGTAAGCTTTCTATATGCTATTGGAAAAACTCACAATTTAATGTGGATGGTGGTTTTCATCTTTCATAAAAGTGGAAACTCTTAAATTTTTTAATAGCATAAGGTTGTAGCTATCTTGTTTTCTCGGAAGATGAAAGTTCCTCAGCAATTTTATTTGATGAAGTATGATAGTAATGTGTGGGTTTGCGGCTACTTACTGAGTTTCAGAAGTTTCTATTTTGTTTTGAGATTCTTTTAATGGTAATGATTTTTGAATTCTTTATCTTTAGTTTATCTTTGGAATTGTTTATCTCTAGTTTATCTTGGAATTGTTTATCTCTAATTTATCTTTGGAGTTATTGGTATTATCTTCTATTCTAATGGTGTAGCATATGTTGATTGCTTTCCACTTTCAGATTTTTATGGATCCTTTTGAAGAAATGGGAATGGGAGCCAGATTTGCTGAGCAGCATAGAAGAAGTGCTAGTGAAAAGGAGGTATAGTCATGTTGCTAGTTGATGCTAAATTTTATGGCCATTTTATTTTTTACTATCTTGTAGCATGCTAATTTTGGGTTAAATTTTGGGCAATTCTATTTGTTTTATTAACTTCAATCTAATTTCCGGTCTTCAAGGCTGACATTATTTTAATCTCCTAAACAGTCAATTCAAATTCCCATTCTGATATAAATAGATAAATTTGGGTTAAATTTTGCGGCAATTCTATTTGTTTTATTAACTTCAATATAAATTCTGGTTTTCAAGGTTGACCTTAGTTTAATCTGCCAATCAGTCAATTCAAATTCCCATTCTGATATAAATAGACAAATTTGGGTTAAATTTTGAGGCAACTTTATTTGTTTTATTAACTTTAATATAATTTCCGGTCTTCAAGGCTGACCTTATTTTAATCTTCCAAACAATCAATTCAAATTCCCGTTCTGGTATAAATTGATAATATAAAAGTTCACCAAGTATTGGCATGATAAAGCCAATAAATAAACTCTGTAAATTTGGACCTTCATGACTGGTGGCTAAATAAATGGGAGTCAGTTTTACTCCTTTTGTTTAAATTTTTATTTTTTCAAAAAAATGTATCATTTGATTTTAGTTTTCTTCCCGTCTTACGGTTGAAGACTTTTACAGTTTGTTGTGTCCCTTTTCCTTGATAGGCTTCTGAGAACAGTGGAACTGTGGATTTGCGCCATTTTGCATTTTATGCATTTGCTGGTCGATCTGGTGTAGAACGATGGAGCAGAAAAAATGAGGTGGTGTTCTTTCTTCTTTGGCCTTCAATGCGCTCAATTGTTTGGGTGTTGTTATCGTGCAAATATAAACCGAAGTTAGTTTAATTTAAAAATGCAATTTTCTTGGTTTAAAAAAGAGTTATATTTTCTGTCTGTAAGTTCATTAGGTGATTTAGTGAACTTTCTCCATCCTCTTGCCCTATCTTATGTTTAACTTTGGCCAGGGGGTGGCAACTTAGTTCTAGACAGGATGTATTTGTTCTGCAACAATCCCGAGAACTTAAGAAGTTATATACTTAAGCTCACAAAATCCAGAACATAATGAGTTAGAGCCTGAATATTATGTTAAGCTCCCAAAATTCAGAACATAATGAGTTAGAGCCTAAATATTAATAATAAATTATACCCTTGAAGATATTGAAACCCTATTGTAAGTGCCTGCACTTATATTTTAACTCATCAATGCGTAAATATGTATTGAAAAAAAGGAAATTCCATAAAACATATGGAAACACCTCCCAACCAGCATAAAATTTTAGCCTTTTATGTCTTTAGCTATGGCAACAGATAGATGTTTTGCAACCAACATAGTGGACAAGTTTGACTGAATCTATTATTTATGCTAGTCTGAAATTTATTTTGTTAAATGATCTTGTGCAGCCTTATCCTTTTTCTAATTGCTAGTATTGTCATTTGATTGTTTAGAACATCGAAGCAGCTTCTTCAGACGCATCACAGTTAATTCCACAGCATAACTACAAACTTGATGCTCATGCTTTGAATAGACGTCAACCCGGAGAGGTACTTAGCTATAGCTGTTCAATTTAATTGTAATGGTATGTTGGATTGCTAGAGTATGATGAAATGGAGTGACATAAAATACCATTACATCCTCTGTAAGCAGGGGAGTCGTTGGTTTTCTTTTTCATATATCGATGGTTTTGTTATATTTAAGTAATGCTGTACTTTCATATTTATTACTTTTTCCACTCCTTATTAAAATCTTCTAAACAATTTCCAAATAAGAAAGGCCAAAACCTTAATTTGTTTGTTTAAAAAGTTGCAGTGCTTGTTATCAATGTACTCCTAAGTCCTAACTTCCTATAGGCTGGAGACCCAATTCCTAGTCATATCTTTATGTTATTCACCCTTCTCTTAAAATGATCAACCATTATAGCAGTTATTTGTTTGTTAGTATGGAGTTTACTCTAATAACTCTAGTACAACAGTACTCATCCGAGTTACTGAGCTACTCCTTCCTTTGTATGTGGAAATAGCAGCATGTGCACGTAATGGAGTGTTTCATTCAAAATTAATATTTATTGCTAAATCTTTGTTCATGATTATCCATACATACCCAAAAGATAGCTTCCAATGACATGTGAAGTTATAGTTTGAATGCAGGGAATTCAGAGAATCAATCCTGGGAGTTATGCCACATCAATGGGTACACTATTTTCTGAGCTATGATTATCATTTGGCTCTAGAGCATAATCTCAAATACTCTAGTTAATTGACATTATATACACGCACTTATCAGGATAGGAGAGAAGATACTTTATTGAAGCTGGCTCACTTCAGACGGCATAAGAGGAAAACATTGAAAAGAACGCCAGGAAAGTCTATTAATTACCCTTTTGACAAGCCTGAGGAAAACCATCCACCAGGGAAGGACTCAACCAAAAAAATTTCTAACATAATCGGGAAAGCAGCAAATTTTGCTGGTTCGGCAAAATCTAAGAAGGTAATTGGAAACCATGTCATGAAACTGCTAGCAATTCATTCAATTGTTGACATAGTTATAACTAGTTTTACAACTGGACAGCTCAAAATTTATTTTTCAAGCATGATTTCAGCTAGAGGCTTTTGCTGTCTTTATCCAGTAACAGAGCTTCCTGTTTACTTTCTAACCACTGCATGTCCAATTTTGTCACGTGATCTAAATTTTTATGTCGGTGGTATTCTCAGCGTCTATTTATTTTAACTCATTTTTGTTAAACCTACTTTGAATTTGTGAGGATAACCATTGCTCTGCATTTGGTTTATTTTTTTTTAAACATGCATTGGTCAGATATCCCTTCTCACTTATTAAATTTATTCTCAAGTCTATAAGTACATTTTTTTTGTTTCTTCTCTGAAAGTTTCTATCGCTGAATTTGAGGAGCCAGTATATTTTATGCTATAGAAATATTGATTGATAATAAATATGCAGTTTTCCCCTTGTTCATATTAAGAATTGTCTTTTAATGGGCCCATTATTTGGAGAGTCTTATCCAAGAAATTCGAGAGACTTGGTCTCTCCCTCCAAGAATTTGAGAGCTTGGTCTCTCTCCAACAATTCGAGAACCTGATCCCTCCCTCCTAAAACCATTCAATAACTTTCCCATATTCCAAAACAGAAATACACACAACCCTTAACCGCCACACATAACTGAGATCAATAAAATTAACTACCCATAACTGCCCATAATTAGAAGTCTATCATAGCCATAGGGCTGTTCAAACAACTGTTTAGAATCAAACTGAACCATGAATTGAGTCACTACCCTTAAAAGTACTGAGCTGATACATTAACTTATGAACTGAACGGTGTTTTAATACTATCAATTCAGTAACTGAACTTCGAATGTTTTACAGCTCAGTGTACTGTGACAAACTGTGAGTTACTCCCTCTTTTTATTAAGTGAAATTGTTACTTCGTTAAAAACTGAGAAGACACCAGTCACAAATTACCTCCTTGTTTGCTGTTACTCCATGGACCCCTCAATAGAAACTTGCTTTCTTTGGTAAGGAATTTAAGAAGCTTCACGAAGAAATATCTGCAACATGTGTTGATTCATATCTCCCAATTTTATTGTTCATTTGAGTGGATATTGAATTTCCTTTTTCGTTTTTTTGTCAAGACATTAAGCTTTCTTTTTCAGTACATTGAAGGTTTTACCTTTATGAATTTAGCATCTGATGCAATAATGCAATCACTATGTGATGGTTAGCAGACACTTAGGGAACAGGTGTTGCTTGGTGATGCCACCGTGTAATAATGAATGGAAAATGGAATGAAGCTCCCAAATGCTATGCTTTTCAGAAGCTACCTATTTTCTCTTTTACTTAAGGTTTAAAGAAAGATCAGGTGAATTTAATTTCTTAAACAGAACCAGCCACATGGAGCTTCTAGCTGTGAATCCAAACAATCAATGGAAAATGGAGAATTGACGTCGCCAAGTGTTTGTATTTTGAACAAGATGCAAATTTTGAGTGTAAAAAAACCAGTTTGGTTTGGCATTGGAACTATAGTGCACCAAACCACAGGACCTTCACACATCGGTGCAAGGGAAGATGGTGTTCAGGTGAAGCCATTGCAGTTCGGTTTTCCTGAATTGTTGTTGTGGTTCACTTTTTTTTTTAATAAACCAAAATGTGAACAAGCCTAATAGAGAGGTAACACGAGGGAATGATTAACTTTATGTTAGAATGATTAGTATGAGGCAGAGGTAGAGAATATCTTTATTCTGAGCTTTTGCTTTAGTTTATCCATTGTAGTGATTTCAGTGATTTCATTGTAGTTTATCCACTGGGGATAGTCAAGTCAGTAGATGAAGAGGAAGACCTAGAAAAACTATAAGAGAAACTATTAAGAAAGATTAATAGATTAATGAGTTGAATAAAAATATGATATATAATAGAACATCATGAGGTAGTTTGATTCTTGTAGTCTGCCCCAATTAGTGGGCTCTAGTTTATCCATTGTTGTGGTTTCAGTGCTATTCTGATTCCTTCTGTAATACAATTTCCTTCTTCTATTTTCACTATTTCATTCCTTCTCTGATCTATCAATTGGTCCATCCTGCTGGTTGGTCATGTTCCCTAGAATGGCCGATCGATCGAGTCATTGAGTTGGAGGCCTGTTCGCCGCATGTGGAATTTGAGTTAACCGAGATGCAACATGCATTATTGGCAGAGATGATTTGCCTGTTTGGCTCTGTTCGGTGGCCTTCCATTGTCATCGAGTTCGGGAGAGGGCGTTTCCTCTTTGTTGGATGAATTTCGTTGTGCTCTAAGGTAGAGCTGCTTTTGTTCCTGGGGATGCACGGGTGCCTAGTCTTATTTTGAGGTGCAGCATATTTCGGAGATGTGTATACAGTTTGCTAAATTAAGCATGGACGTAACACGGGAGAGTTTCAACCTATGGTGTGATTCTACGGAAGAGGTAACATGGGGGAGTTCAAGGAAGCATTTTATGTCCGTTTCAGTAGTGGTTGAACGAACAATCCTTTGAGGACTTCAATAATTTGAAGCAAATGAGTTCACTGGAGGAGTATATTGCTGATTTTGATTTGCTTTCCTCAGTGCAGATATTTGGCTCAATCTGGGTCCATGTGGTCTTCTGTGAAGCCTTATTCAAATTCGGGGTTCTTTTTTGTCTTTGTCAGGGAATCGTGGCACATCTTCTACAGAGAGCTCACAGGGGAGTGCTGCAGAGGATTCTCGGGGAGCTCCTGGTGAACGCTGTCGTGGTTTTAGGCATATCCTGCACTCGGAATTGCTGGAGAAAAGGGTTAAAGGCTTGTGTTTTCAATACAATAAACACTATCTTCCCTTGCACCAATGTGCGGATAATCAGTTGCGATTGACTAATTTAGGGGATGGCGGAGGATGGGGAGATTGTAGAGGTTGATGAAGGAGTTGAAGAAATCGAATACCAGCCTCTAAAACGATGCCAGTTTGTGAGTCTCTGTCGGTGAAGAACAAGGAGTTGAAGAAATCGAATACCAGCTCCTAAAACGATGCAGTTTGTGCCTTTGGATTCAAAAGATACTGTTAGTGTGCATTTGGGGGATGGTCATATGGTGCAGGCATTGACAAATGTGTGCTGTGCTTCTGCATTTTGGTACTTTTGTGGTCTTTCTAGATACACGTGTGTTGGAGTTAGGAGGTCGTCACAGTACTTATTGACGAGATTTGCTTTGTTTCACCTTACACGGGAAAATGCATTGGTTAAATTGGTAGAAGTGTTGGTGTATTCAAGAAGAAGTTGTATTTTAATAGATGAAGTGCTTAATGTCTGGGAAGTTTGGTCGTTAAACTACCTACTCAATGGGGACATATTTTTGTTTAAATGAATTTTGAGTTCACCCTTCTAATAACTTTAGTGCTTTGAAGGATTAGAAGAATGCATTTAAAACAATTTGAAGATTATTTCATTCTTAGGTTAAGGTACTTCATGAAACATGGCATGTTTCAAAGCAATAACTTGGTGGAAAACAGTTTTTCCCCCCTTTGAAATTAATTAAACAAAGTAGTTATAGATTCGTATTGTGTAAAAAACATAACTTCTAAGCTTGTTAAATACACTTAATGGAAGTTTTTTTGGCATTAACAGTTTTCACTATTTGTCATAATGTTTTTTTCTTTTGGGATGCAGCATGCGCCTTATGTTCCCACCATAACCAACTACACTAAGGTTTGGTGGGTTCCTAATGTTGTCGTGGCTCATCTAAAGGAGGGGATAGAAGCCGTTCATCTGGCATCTGGTCGAACAATATGCAAGGTAAATATAAAGCTACTGATTAGATTGGAAGTTGATTATTGTTTCATCATGCATATATTAGTCAAAATACGAAAAAGGTATATGATTATTGTTTCAGCAAACATCTTATTTAGCTGTCGCATTATTATTTTGTAATTCTTTTATATCCTGTGAAATGACAATTTTGTTTATCTCAGCTTCACCTTCAGGAAGGTGGTCTACATGCTGATATTAATGGCGATGGAGTTCTTGATCATGTGCAGGTTTGTGATTTTTTTTTCTTCAGATTTTTTGATAAACCAACAACCCAGATTTTATTAACTTAGCATGATAATTGATGATATAATGGGGTTATTTTCTTCTGCCTGATGCCTGAGATCTATCTAATCAGGCTGTTGGAGGAAATGGTGCTGAGCAGACTGTAGTTAGTGGGTTCATGGAAGTTCTGCGTCCTTGTTGGGCTGTTGCATCATCTGGCGTACCAGTACGGGAACAACTCTTCAATGTATCTATTTGTCATTATGCCCATTTTAACTTACTCCAACATGGAGAACTTTATAGAAGCTTCAGCCGAGGTTCAGATATGGCTTCTTTGGAAGTAGCAACACCCATTCTCATTCCTAGAAGTGATGGTCACAGGCATCGGAAGGGAAGCCATGGTGACGTTGTCTTCTTGACAAACCGTGGAGAGGTATGCTATTGTTTTATTTGACTAGATGTGGATAATGGCTATGCAACATTTGATAGTTTTTATGAGCACCAGTCAAAACCAGTTCATTTTTGTTTAGCAAACTGTTTCAAGTCACAAATAATATATTTTGGTGCTATTTATGAGATATTCTGTACTATATAAAAATTGTTCATTGCAGATTACATCGTACTCTCCTGGTTTGCATGGTCATGATGCTGTTTGGCAGTGGCAACAATCAACTGGTGTCACATGGTCAAATCTACCTTCCCCAGCAGGGATGATGGAAGGTGGTTTGGTGATTCCCACACTAAAGCCTTTTCCCTTGAGGTTGCACGACAATAAGGAGATGATCCTTGCAGCTGGAGAACAAGAGGCTGTGGTAATATCACCCGGAGGTAGTATATTGGCTACAATTGAACTACCTGGTCCACCTACACATGTTTTGATTCGCGAGGACTTTTCAAATGACGGGCTCACTGACCTTATTCTCGTCACCTCTTCTGGAGTGTATGGCTTTGTCCAGACTCGACAACCTGGTGCTCTCTTCTTCAGTGTGCTGATTGGTTGTCTCATAGTCGTGATGGGAATTATTTTTGTCACCCAGCACATGAATTCCATGAAGGGTAAACCTCGTCCATCATCCGGTCCTAGGTGAAATGCAGGACCTTAAGTTTATACAAGATGAACTTTGCACGCGCTTACAATGAATCAGAAGACAATGCGATGACGCAACCAATAGAGCATCAAAATTGTTCAAAATGCATAGGATTTAAGGAGATTTTGAGGTGCTGGACTGTCTAGGACGGATGATTGTAAAATTTGTAGACAGAAATGACAGAATGTCCTTCATGAGGGAAGTTTGATGTTATAACAAATACTATAAAGAAATATACTTTTTGCATGTGATATGTCTGTTGTTTAGAAGAAGCTACGCTGTACACACTTGTCAGCTGTCACCCGTTCAGAATTAGCTGATATACTTGATACTAATTGATGCATAACAGAAATTCACCTGTCTTTTCTCTTCTACGAAAAGGATTTCATTTAGTTACACATTCTTGAAAATTTGGCCATTAGCTGATTTACTTGGAATTTTCGTTAGCTGTCACACCACCACCTTTTTGGTCGTTTTCATACACAAACTTCTTTAAGTCAATTAAAAGACGACTTCCCCTATTCATCTATAGTTACAAGGTGCTTGATTTCATCTCGAATCTGTATAGTGATATATATATAATCCGCATTAAGTATGTAGGATCACATCAGACATTATTTTCACTGTTTCATGTGAACATTTGAATGATTCAAAAGTTTCATCATATAATAGTGCATACCCTGATATGAATGTGACCCTATAATGGTTAAAACTTGAAAATAATGGTCGATTACTGTCATTGGAAAATTATACCTGGCACCTCCACAATGTGTGTGCTTTTACCGTTTTTCATAAAGATGTGTCAACATCGAAAAATTTCAAAACTACATCGGAAATTTTGATAAAGAGTACAAAAATGTCAGAAATTTTAGAAAATTACTGACAAATTCTGTTTTCTATAAAGAAATACCGACATTTTGAAATTTCTGCTTCTGCCATATCGATCATACTGGTCGTACTGGAAATTAAAAAAAAAAAAAAATGAAATTTCCGATAACTAATTTCTCAAAGATATACATTTTATCATCTAATAGTTAGGCCACCAGAAATTTCAAAGATAACGTTTCCGGTAGTTCATTGGTCCCACCAAAACAAATTCATTCTATCATCCAATAGTTAGGCCCACCAAGGTAGTTCATTCTAAATAAATTCTTTAAACTATCTGTAATTTTATTTTTTTTTAAAATTTTCGGTACTGACATATAAATTTTCTAAAATATTGGTATTAATTCAAAGATATGGATTTGAAAAACGAAGGGTACAAGTTAATACCAACAATTTTAAAATGAATTATTGACAAATTTGATTTGTTATCAGAAATTTTGAATGAATCATCGGAAATTTTGTCCGCACTTTTGACTCAAATTTATCCATGGACAATTTAGAAATTAGTAAAACATACGAGGAGTGTCAGGTTTAATTTTAGGGGTGACAAGATCAATTCTCTTGTAATTGGCACAACATTTCGTATCCAAGGAAGTGAAACTCCTTAAAATGGCATAAAAATATCTGTAGTCTAACATAATTATTGCATCGATTCAAAATATATTTGTCATTTACGGGCATCAAAATATCCGCTGTCTAACATAAGAGGGTTGCTCTTTAAACCCTATAGGGTGCTTTTTCACCACCGTGAAAATTCACAAATGTCCTTAGTGTATGGAGACGCATCTCCGACCACACTTTTTTTTACACGCTCGTCAGTCCAAATTGACGAGACACTCTTATTTTGTCAAAATTTTGTCTTGAGATACATCTTCGTATCAACATTAGAGTGATTCCGGAGATACATCCACGTAACAACCCTTAATACAATATTCAATGAGTTTTTTTGGAGATACATCTCTAAAATATGCCCTGTTAGGTCTAACTAGAAACAATTGCAGAATGTTGGAAAAACAACATAAATTAACATTCAAATACTTACATAGGTAATGTTAACATAACTTTAACATTACATTTCATTACAAACGGGTGGTTCAAGATGTTGCAACATCTCTATAATATCTCTGGTCAATCTTGCAATCATCGCATCCACTTCAACCGAACCCTTTGTTGAGTAACAATAAAATGTACTCCATATAAATTTTAAATTCTCATCTGTCTTTAGTTCAAGCTTGGTGAACCGTATCTTTCCTTCGTCGGTAATCGATGGTGAACGATACTCGAGTTTTACAACTCTTCAATTTTTTTGAATATCGCAGAAGAGTATTCAATTTGAATTTCAGATCAACGAGAGGTATGTCCTCAAAGACCCTAAATTGAAGCGAAGGGTTTGTGCTATTGAAATACATAAAAGCAAGATGAGGATATGTATTCATTTTGGTTTGTTGTATTCTTTTGTAAAGGAAATGGAATGAGAGACCCCTATTTAACAAGTTTTATATCAATTTTGACCTTAAAAACAATATTCTTTCATCAGGGCATATTTCATATATACATATCCGAAATCCTTTTTTTTTATACAAAATAAGGGTGTTTACGGAGATGCACATCTGTAAAATCTTCTGTTTTATTTTTTTACAATTAATATTGGGTGTGTTCGGAGATGCATATCCGTATTCACCCAGAGCACTGTTCATACATAACCAGTATAATATGCAAGGAAAAATTTTGAAACATAAAATTTGTCCAAAAATTACCCCCAAATTCTATAACATTAAAGTAGAATGGACATTATGTATGTCTCAAATTGTGTCGAGATTACACCATTGGCAACATTACATACAAAAAGTAAGTTACATTGTGAGATAAAAACTAAAATGTATCAAAAAATGTGTCACCACCTAAATCTATTACTGGATCCTTCTTTGACATTTCCTTATTTGATTCTCTTTCAATGTCACTTAACTTGGTGAACTCTTCCATCTTTTCCAGAAAGTGGTCTAACCAAGTTTCAACATCTTTTGTGAAGTGTGTCGTCCACTCAAGTGATGTCTTTGATATAGGACATCCCGATTTCAAATAAACTTGAACAAAATATTGTCTTTTTGAAATCCACCCAATACACATGATGCGTCCAGATGGATTTTGAGGTGGCTTACTTTGAAGTGGAAAAAATGTTTTTGAGAAATCGTATCTTGAAAGACCAATACACATCATATCATAAGAACATGCTATAAAATGTCCCATTTCAGGGAAGCACATTTCTTTTTTCAAACGGTGCCAGACCATTAACACAAAGAAAAAGAACATTGAGAATTACATCCTAATTTTATTTTCCCCATATAGCGATGTGTATGATTCCCTATGAGTCATCAACTCTAGTATAAGTTGATGCTAGACAAATTGGTGGTCCTTTTATCCTTTCCTGAGCAAGCCTGAAATAGATCGAAAACCACAATTGTTGTCACCTTTAACATTTATAATCTGCTTAATATATTTGTGCATAAAAAGCGCCATCTCTTCAATAGAGATGATTTTTTGTAACAATGGTGGAGGAGATAGTTTGCTAATGCGATCACTTTTGAAAACACTTATTTGAGATTTTAGAGTTGGAGAGTCAGGAAAATGTGAGTCAACATGTTCAAAGTATGAACGAGACCGTCTCGTAGAATTGTCACTATGTGTCGGGTTGACCTTTTTAAAGGCATCCTTTGTTTTAACCAGTTTCGACGGGGGTTTTAAATATGCTTTTTTCAGAATATGCAATCTTCATCAGTTGCTCTTTGATGTGTAATTTCATGATATCTCCCGCTTTCAAAATCCTCTATTGGATTACTTCCCATTCAGTCATAATAGTTATACTTGCTTTATCATCCTTCATCACACCACCATCATCAAACCAAAGTCTTTTCTAGTGAGTGTAAACTTCATCCATACGTATCAGTTTATCAAGCTTCATCTTCTTTGAAATTAAACAAGCACACAGAAGAACGTGCGTCTTCCTAAGTGTATATCTACACTTTGAACTATCTAAACATGTTTTATCTACTCACTTGGATTCTTGAAAAATAAAATTCAATCCCGGCCAAGATATGTAGTCAACCAACTGTGAATAAAGAATGTTGTCTTTGAATCTGTGTTTTAACACATAGTAGTGCTCCTACTAAAATATGATTGTATCTCATTATGTTGGTTACAAAGCATTTGGTTCACAGTGTCCCAATCTCGATAAAAAATACATTTACTGTTTTCCAACCAATTCTTAGTGTAGCATATGCATATTCACCTCTGTTAGTTGTTGTATTGATAACATGTCTAACTTGACCGGTCCAGGAATAAACAATATTCTCCTTCACGTAGTCCAAAATAGTACTCTCAACATATTTCAGGAAATCTGAATATCTCGCACACACGTCCTGAAATGTATTACATATTCGACATATAACTCTTTCGTGGAAGAATTTATTATTCCATTCCACGCATCCATTATCTTTTTTAGCACCACACAAGGTTTGACCGTTTTTCCATCTTCACCTATGATTTTTTTGGTGCCTACCGCAAGCTTTAGTTAACTTTTCATATTTTTGATTATATGATACTTACAAAGTAATGCATACGATGTAGGAAACACTATTACAACTGAATTCACCAGTGCGATGTCGTGATTGGTGACAATTACATTTGGCATATTTTCTTGGTCCTTCAACATAGTCTTGCACATTTTCAAAACCCATGTAACATTGTCCTCTTTTTTTGATTCCAAAAATGCAAAAACGACTGAAAAAGTCATCTATGTAGAAGTAACACCAACAATTTCCAGAAGTGAAAATCTATAATTGTTTGTTTTGCATGTTAAATCAATTATGAACAAAGTGGTAATTGTGTTGAACAACTTGATGGAATCGAGATGAGTCCAAAATATATCTCAAACTATGAATTCATCCTCCAAAAGCTTCAACAGTTGTTGCATTTCAGATCTTGGACCTCTTTCCGCCTTATTGTTTCGGGCACACATGTGTACTTGTTTGATATTTGAAACATTTTTAGGTCTTTTCTATTTCAAAGTTGTAAATATGTTTTTCGGTGCCACCATGTTTAATGCCATGTTCAAAATA